TTTTTATTTGCTTGCTTTTTTTTGGTTTAAGACTGAATGAACTACTGCTGATGGGTAGATTTTCTGTGGCAGTCTTGCATTCCAAAAGAAAATTGCTTTTGCTTTATAAATAGTCTACATGGGGCTTCAATGTTAATTCCTCAGATTATTTTAGGGCAATTGCCAAAAAAATGTGAGTATAAATACTGTGTTGATGAATCTTTTATGATTTAGTATTACTTCAGTAGTTATCTTGAAAAAACAAAACTTTAAACAGTCCTAAAAGTATCTAAATGTGTACTCCTATATTTAAAATAAAATGAAGAAAAGCATAATGGTCAATTTATGGAATGCTACTTAAACTAAAATGTAAATGTTTATATAAATAAAATTTACTATAACGTGTAGCTTAATTTTAAAGCAACAGGATAAATAATTTAATTTTCTTCAGTTCTGCAGGAAAAAGCAATGCTCATTGTTTTGAGAATAACTAAAACCCTACACAAGGAGGAAGAGATTTTTTTCTCTTTGCTCATCCAAACATAAAAAATCAAAGTCTAACTGAAGTAATGTCTGTGGATTTTTCAATTAAAAAATAGCGGATAAGTATTTGTTTTTGGCTAGCATGCAAGTGCTTCAATGAACTATTGCACTGTTATTTCAAATTGCCAATAATTTATAAACTTTGAAGTTTCATGAGAAGGTGGGGAGATGCAGCTATACTTTGCTTTCTTGGAGTCTGCAAACAAGATGCCACTTCACCTGAGACTAGACAAGAGGTATATATGTAATCACACACAGTTCATTCCATAAGCTGACTATTATAGTAATAATATTATATATATATATATATACACAGATATAGAGAGAGTAATATATGTACACACACATATTATTTATAAAGTTTATATAAAATTGTGTAATTATAATAAAACGATATTTCCATACTCATATATATATACAATTTACACACACGCTATGTGTTAGATTTTGCCTATACAAAATCTGAAGCATGTGTTTCAAAAGAAGCTTGCCTGTTTGCCACAGAGCAGAAAAATGGCAGATTCTTGCTTTCTTTGCTTCCCTTAAAACTTGGACTTTACTATGAAAAATAAGACTTTGCCACTTAGATCTACAAACCCTATATCGTAAGTCTAGTGTTAGTGTTATAAATAAATGAAGGCTGAAATTTTTCCTTGGCAACAACTGCATATTTTACAGGATGAAGTTCTGGGGACATCGTGTCACTCAGTGCCCTGTGCCAACACCACAACTGTGCCTGGCTCTAGTGGCAGAGCAAGTGCTTGCCAGACCATGACGGCAGCCTGGTTTGGAGCATGATTCCTAACTATGCACCCTCCAAGCCTGGTTTTCCAGCCCTCCTAAAAATTCTGTGAACTATCTAATAAACTTTTAACAAGTTTGGCTTCTTACTAAAACCACTAGAATTAGGTTCTGCTGCTTGCCTCTAGAAAACCTTGCTAATAAAATAAAGAGTAATGGATTGAATAATATGGAAGGAAATAAAAGATATGCATGACGAAGTCCAGCTAATGGGAAAAGTGAATCTTCCCTAATGGGAAGAGAGGGGACATGTGCCTGCAAGGGGATAGGATAAGGAAGAAAAGACACATCTACCCAGGTTTTCAGATAGGATCAATGTGCAGTGAACTTTTTATGTTGAAAATGTCTGTAGGAGAAGATGGTCAGGTGAATAGGGAAGTCTGAGAGCCATGAACCAAGCAGGTTCTTGTGGCAATGAAAACTAGGATGGTCTAGAATGGTCAAGGCATACACTTGTCAAGAGAAGAAGGGAAAGGTCGCAGTGCGGACGGAAGCCACTGCGTCTTTCCCTGTTTAGATAGCCCCTCTAAGTATGGTAAATCTCTTTGTGAGAAATGTGCTCACATCTTGCTCTGGGAAAAAAAAAATGAGAAAGTCCTTCCAACATAGATGCCATTGGTAAAGGTGATCTCAGTGAATGCCTTGCTCAAATCCATCTGGCCAACAAGACTTACCCTGACTCACCTATTTAATATTTGCCTCCATTCCTGGCACTCCTGGAAGTCCCTGTTGAATTCAATTTTCTTTTTGACATGTATTTACCACATTCTAATATTTTTAAGTTTACTTATGTATTTTATCTATTGCTAATTGTCTCCCTACCAGAGAGTAGCCATCAAGAGCAAATCAATCCTTGTTTTATTTATATGTTTCAAAATCCTAAAACAGTTTCTGGCACAAAACCTAGGGCTTTTTCCCAGGTGTGTTTGCTAAAAATCTTTAAAGACAATTGTTTAACTTTACAGCTATCTGAGGCAGTAAATAACAGTTGGAGCAAACAACAGATGGACCACAAAGATTAAGATAAAAATCTAGGGAATGAGATAACTGAGTAGCTCTGATGTACTTCTGGGAAAGTAGACAGCTATGTATTTGCATGGAGCTCCTACCTCCAAAGACCTGTTGTTTCTGGTCTCAACATGTAAATTACTGCTACTTACAGTCAGGAAGGCCTGAGAAGGCCCCTGGCTTTCACCTATGGCTGGCCACAAGGCTATGAGTAAGTAGAAAGTGGGAGCTAAGGCAACATGCACACAGAGCCCCTGGGCAAAGAAGGGGAGTCTTGGAGATTCCTGGAGTTACGAAACCTCTGTCTTTTTATTAACTCACCACTAAACCAACTCAACAGACTTCAGTGGACACACATGACAAAGAATATAATATCAGGATCTATAATCCTACCAGTCAATTCCCAAAAACAAATATATTTCTCCATCTATCTACCTATTGAGCTCCTATTGGTTCTGTTTCTCTGGAGAACACTTACTAATAGAGTGCACTTTAATGTACATTCTTTGATAGGATCCTTTGTATAGGCATGTGGTTATCTTCCTTGATATCAATCTCCAAAGACCTGTGGTATCATTTCTCACAATACCTGAATTCCTGAACTGCTACTATATTTGATGTACAGACAGACTTGAACAGTTTCTGTATAAGCATGAAAACAATATTTAATTTTTTATACATATTTTTCCATTGTATAATAGTGGCTTAAAATTTGAATATTTGTAAATTACAACTGTTACCCTTGCGCTACAATTTGAAGGAATATTTTTCTTCCAAGGAAGAACAATGGAGTTGAAAAATACATGAGAATTAGAAAAAGAGAAAGTCTTTCCACCAGAATTGTGTTCAAAGGCTCCAGATCCAAGCACTGCAGGAATTGAGATAAATGCTTCACTTCAATTGTGGCCTCTGGCTCAGAAGACTCCCCATATTATCCCTACCATCTCCATCCCTGCCCTTTTATTTTCTAAAGACCAGGAATTTGGAGAACTCTAAGTCAGGAAATGTCTATAGGAAGGAAATTGTAAAGGGAAATATGAAAATCAAGGTTGCAATCCCTTTTCCCACTTGGAGACATGTGGATCTATACATTTCTATTACTCTATAGATGCAAACTTCATGCGCATGAGTGGACTTTCTTGTACTCATTTGTGTACTTCCAGAACCTAATCTGTCAGTGCTGTTAGCACTCACTGATTCCCATCCTCATCATTTCTATGTGATCAGGTCCAGCTCTTGCTGACTCACCCTCAAGGCTCAGAGAGTATTACTTAGATATTCATGTTAGTCCAGCCAATTTGATTTTGGGTTTAATTCAGTAAGAATCCAAAATAAAGAAAAACTGCAAATAAAATATTTTCAGCCATGATGGAGGATGAGAGGGACAACTACAAACTGCCATCATACATGTTTCCCTAATATACTGTTTTCTTCCAGGAAAACCAAATTGTTTTTAAAATTTTGATATCAGAATACATAAAAAATGTTACTCTGAACACAGGTCAAATTTTGCTAAATAAATAAGTGGTTTAGCCTTCTTCATTCAAACGTATTTCTGCTTTAAAAAAAAAAGAGGACAAATGAAGAGCCCGTATCTGAACTGGTAAGTTCAAAACAGTTCCTATCTGTAGTTCCTAAACCCCAAAGCTCTGACAATTGTAAAGATTTTCTGTTTATTTTTGTATTTCTTAGATGGCAAACCTCACCTGACTTCCATGACCCCATTAGTGTTGTTATATAATATATGCAATATGCACCATATTACTTTTGTTTATTGATTGATTGATTTTGGTACTACTGGGGTTTGTACTAAGGGCCTTATATTTGTTAGGCAAGTAGGTGCTTTACCACTTGAGCCACTCCACCAGCACCATATTACTTTTAAACCTGAGAAACCTTGAATTCCAAAACTGTGGACTTGCAGTCAATTGAAGTGAAGGGGCAAGCTATTAGGAAAAAATCCTGCACACACACACACACAGACACACACACACACACGTGTGAGCATGTACATGGAAATCAGCAACTCTTTCTAGAACTTACTTCCTTTAGAAAATAAGGGGGATGGGAGGAGTTTGTACTACATGGCCCCTAATCTGCTTGTCTGTAATTAAATTCTAGGATTCTATTCGATAAGTTTATATCATGAAACACATAACGAATTATGAACTTTGAATTATGCTGCACTTGTATAAAAGTATAGGTATTTAGCTTTGCAGTTATGTTAGTCAGATTTTCACCATCATAACAAAATACCTGAGATGATTAACATGTAAAAAGAAAAGATTTATTCTGGCTCACAGTTTTGAAGGTTCAGTCCCAGATTGGGCAGACCCATTGCTTTGGGCCTTTAGTGGGAGTGTCACATGGCAACAGGGGAGAACACGTGACAGAGTGAACTGCTCACCTCAGGACCAGAAAGCAAAAGAGAAAGAGCAAGAAACGCAATCTCCCTCAAGGGGGTCACAACCCCCAATGACCTAACAACCTTCCCCTGGGCCCCACCTCATAAAGGTTTCACCATTTCCCAATACTGCCACCTTGGGGACTAAGACCTTAAAGCATGGATCTTTGAGGGATAGTCCAGATCCAAACTAGACAGAGATAATATGCAACAAACATGGGTTATTAGATGACATCAATTATGCAAATCAACTCAGGTTTAGTACCTGCTGTGCCAAACACTGAAGATATGTCTTTCTTAATGGCCTTGTGGATATCAGGGTGAGATAATACAAATGCAAGTGTCCAAAATGCAATCTTAAAAAGAAAACATATATCAAAATTACAAACTTCTTTAAAGGTAAACAAAAACATAATAATTATTAGCTATAAACAAAGAAGAATGAAGACAATGTTTGAATTAATCTTATAAGCATGTTAAAAGCACCTTTGACAACAGCTATGAACAAAAAAGATGTTATATGTATCTAGGAAGTCAAATTGATAATTTTATTTGGGCAATATACTTTAATTGTACTGTTTGTATAGGCTAAACTGTCTACTAAAATAGCAGTAGTGAGATTTTTACTAAAAGCAAGATAAATTATTATGTAGGCATACAGTAAATATTCAGAAGCAAAAGATTATAATACTTAAGAATGTTAATCTAAACTAAAAGGGTTTTCAAGATTTAAGTTCCATAAAATACAAATGAATCATTAAATTCAACCTTCTGTAAATTAAAATAGTCATTTAAAATAAGTCCAAGAAGCCGTACCTAAAATCTCATAAACTAAATTGTGCAAGTGTTCTACTTGAAAAATAGGATCATTTCACACCTGAATGCGACACAGTATAGTGATTTGCAAGTTCTCTCTTGTGGATTTTCAAAATTATTTCATATCTTTCCTTAATAAGATAATATACTGCTCTACGTCTTAAAGATTAACTGCTCAAGTAAATGTTTTTGCTTTATTGTTAGGTTACAGAATAAAGGAAATCTGTACGAAATCATTAGAAGCAGCTTGGGTTTCCCTTTCAGTTTTTTTCTATAAACATTTATTGTGAAATCAGTCCTGAAATGACTCAGGTAATACTTGATATAATTTAAGTCTTTTCATTTGCTTTATGAAGTAACATTATATACCTTGAAATAATCCCAATACTCCCCTCTGTGGTCAAAAGAGGAAGAGCAATTGTCTGAAAGGCAGTGCTCAAATGGGCCAAGTTCAATACTGCTCATTGTTTTCCCCTTGCTGAAATCAAACGAATAGTGCAAGGAGATTATATAGTACTGTTTACATAAACAGAACCAAGGCCCCTGCAATCTGGACACTATCTTTTTGAGATACCATACAGCTTTTAAAAGATTATCTAGTTCATTTTCACAGATGAGAAAAACAGATGCTCAGAGAGCTCATTTTCCTTAGGTCCTACCTCCTATTATCTATAGGTGAAAGAACTAAATTATTGAATTTAATTAATAACTACTCCATACTTAATTCATCTGATGTATAGAGTCAGAGTTCATATGGGGGGGGTGGAGGGTGGGGAATCCTAATGCTAGTGCACAGATATCCAGTTACACAAAAGAAGAGTTCAGAGTTTTATGTGCCCAATTATAGTTTTACAGATTCACTAAACTTGGAGACTACTTGTCTTTATAATAAACAAGGAATTCAGCTAAACTACAAATGCATATGCCTCTTTTTTCTTAACATATTTCTGCTTTTAAAAATGTAAGCTATTTTCTACTTTTAACAAAGGACTTTTTGAACATGAGTAAAGGCATATGAGAACAAAGTTCATTAAAAATTTTTATGCAATACTGAATCAATAAGCAAGAATAGGTGATTCACAGGTTGTTGTGCACTCACATTTGGGAAAGGAAGTCACACCACTGCTCCCAACATTACCAACTGATCTTCTGCTAAAGGGGTCAAGTCCACAGTCGGAGCATAAGGAAGGACCCCTGGCCCACAGAACTGCAGAAACAGCTATCACAAAGCCTTTCCGTTGTTTTGGAGAGTTAAGGACAGCAATGAGAAGGGACAAGGAGGGAAGCTTGGTGTTTTCTTGTGTCAGGAGGAAATTAGTTCAGTATGGGCTTCAGTATCTTTTACTCATCCATCCACCTATTCAAAAAATTTTTTTATCAAATACCAATTGAGTCTCTATAATTTACCAGATAGTCCTCCGCCCATCGTACATGTGTAAAGTAATTTTTTCACATCTAGTTGGGGGTGTGAGACACATATGGAAGAAAAAAGCCAAATGTGCAAGACAGTGAAAGTGCCACCATGTGGTACGGACAATAACTGCTGTGAGAATTAAGAGTGGAATGAGATGGGGTTGCTACTGAAAGTATTTATAAACATTCAATAGAGAAGAAGTTGATTAACAAAAGGTAAAATGTCAACTTTGAGACCGGGCTGGAGAAATGTTCATAAAAGGTACTTCTGGTAGTCCAGAATTTCTTGGAACTAGGAAATGGTCTTCCCATAGGAATTACTTCATAAATTATGGCTAATGTCTTGAGACAGTCCACCAAAGCACACCAAGGCATCTCAGAGCCTTCCAGTGAGCTGGGACCAAGCTGGTCTGCAGTCTGGGCTCTGAATGCCATGGCCCTTGAGGCAGAGTGCAAAGCAGGAGAGGGGAAGGTAATGGTATGACCTGGGCCCCAAGAAAGGCCACACCTACGCACTAGTACACTTTTGGCAGGACTTCAGTAGCTCTCTTGGCAGAGATGGGAGGTTATAAAAGGCAAGATAGCAGAGCCACCCCCATTCTGGGCCTTTGAAGGGTCAAGTATTTGGAAGGTAGGCCAATCTATATTCATTATTAATGGGCCATTGAAAGTAACCGTTGATTGAAACCAGGGCAATAATTTTTGGAAGGAAAGAAAACTAACATTTATTGAATATCAATGTTGTGCCAGATACTGTTAGGCACTTCCATTTTTCCCCCCAATATAATCCTCACAACCATCATTTGAGGCAGGTAGCATCAATACCATTTTACAGATGGGGACAAAGAGGTTTGGAGGGGTTAATAATTGGCCCATTGTTGGTCAGAGCTGGGAACTGGCTTTGGATCTGACTCTAATGACTCTTGTAGTCCTCCAAGAGTCACACACCAGGCTGCCTCTTGGAGATGCCAACAAGAGCAGGCAAGATGGAACTTTCACAAATCATCAGACACTTCCCTTCTGAAATGAATGGTTTAAATCCCTTCAGACCAGTGCCAGGAACAAATTTCAAAGAACTGACTTCCTCTGTGTCAGATCAATGGTGCTTTGTAAGGTTTTTTCGGGGGGGGGGGGGACCTTTTTAATAAGATCTTAAAAATTAATCCTATGACAGGAGTAATTGTTCTGTTGCTGCTTTGGGAGTTGTTTTGATGTTTGTTTTTCAGTTTTGGTGCAGATCAATCAGTTTCCAAGAAAAAATTTCAAGAAAAATCGTAGAATAATATTAGAGGGTTCATAAAGTAGGGAAAGGAATTAGACTGTTTGTACTTGGCAACCCCAGATTAAATACATATTCTCATGTGTGACACACATTCAAACAAAAAGGCCAGAATTTCTATCTCTGCTTTTTATTATGGATTAAGGGATACTAAGATATCAGAACTTAGAAATCTTTTAGCCACCTAGGCCTTCCTAAAGATGATGAAGGATTAAATAATACTTAAAACATCTTCCTTATTTCTATTTTTTAGAAGAAAAATGACAACATTTATCATTAGAGATGGGTTGAATTTTCCTATTGGGTAGAACATAAATATATAAAATATGTAATATTTTAATAAATAAATATATAAAATATAGTATGTCCTTTAATTTCAAATAACAAGGAGCAGCTCAGGCTAATGGGAGAGCCTCCTGACCCAGGAAACTAGTATGGATTGAACAGGAAGTGACAGACAAAACTTGTGACTCTAACCTACCTCATGATAGCTTTAAAAGAAAATAAAACAAACAAAAGCAGTTTTGCTGGGCACAGTGGTGCATACCTATAATCTCAGCACAAGAGTGGCTGAGACAGGAGGATTGTTGAGTTCAAGGTCAATCTGGAATATATGACGAGACACTGTCTCAAAATAAAAAAAACAATAAAAATTCAACAGTTTTTCTGCTCTCTTTAAATTTATTGTGAGTTCCAATGTCATGAGCCTCATTCATGGGGAAGCTTGCAGGACCAAGAGGCCAAGTAATGAAAGCAGTGATTGTGTACAGAAGAACATGTCTGGGGGAGAGAAAGAGCTCACATTCATGGGACATCTGCTGGAATTGTTTTTGCTGAATCCTCACAGCAACTTTGTAGAAAAATGAGAACTTGTAGAGATATGAGTACCCAAGGCCTAAGACCATACTAGAAGACCTATGCATATTAGCCCCCTTTCTTTTTTTTAAACCAATAAAGACATGGAGGCACAGATTGTTTAAGTTGCCTGTGACATTCTATACCTATGACAGCGGATGTCAGGATTTAAGCCCAATTCTATTTGAAACTATTCATTTGCCTACTTATTCTTCAGTAAAAAGTTGGGGCCAAAACTTATTCATCTGTGTGGCACCAATACAGGCACATGTTCTGACAGGGACAGAGCTCCTTCAGCAGCAGTGGTTGGCTGCAAAGGGCAGCCTGTTACATGCTGCCTTTTCGAGGACAGGATTTGCTCTGCGTCTGTGCTTTACCTTCTTTGTGACATTAGGTATTCAGTTCTGTTTTTTTACCTCACAACTGAAACCACTGTAGTCTTCATCTTCCTCATAATAAATTCAAGGACTGAAGAAAAATAAAGAAGAAAAGCAACAAAAGTACAGCAGACAAGCATGTAGCCCATACTTTATAGTGTACTTACAGGAACAGCATTAGACAGAGAAGCCCAAAGTGTTAACAGCCCATAATTTGGACTTTGTTCATTTGTTTCCATCTCTAAAATATCCAGCACAGCTTGCATTACTGTCTGTTTGAAGGAAATAAATATTGTCAAACCACGGCCATGTGACAAAGATTGATATTAATAACAAAGAGGTCATGTGTTTTTCTTTAATCCAAAAGACGTTATTTCTCTCATTCCTGGGCTTGCAATCTGAGGTGGACTAAAGGATTTGCATGCTAGAGATCTTGTTTGGAAGTTCTCACAGAGGAGCACAGCTACTCGTATCACTTTGACTGAGTGCATAGCTTCAGGAAGTGCACACATGTCCAGCCAACCAGATCAGTAGAATCAACCAGTGGCAAACAATGAGACAACAGCTGTCCCAGCCAGACACCCTTACATCTGAGGATTTGTACATTTACTGGTAGCAAATTAATTAGGAATAGATTTCAGTGGAGTTCAACCTCATTCCTGCTTTGGTTTAAATCCTGGCTCCCTGATTTAAGAGATGAATGACTTTGGACAATCTACTTCAACCTATTTCAATCTCAATTTCCTCATCTATAAACTAACCTTAAATATGGAAACTGCCACCTAAAAGATGTTGTGATAATTGAATTAGAGCAGTTGTCTATATGATGCTTGAAACAAAACCTGGTGAATATTAAATTTTTTATTGTTTTCAAATTTTTACAAAATAGCAGGTTTTATTTTGACATTTTCATACATGTATTTAAGGTGCTGTGAGTATTCACCCTCTTATTACCCATACTTAAATCCCCTCTCCCCCATTGGTCCCTTTTCTGTTCCCTAATAATCCCCCTTCTACTTCAGGTGAGTTTTATTTTTTTTAAGAATCCACATATAAATGTAAACATGATGGATATTTTTCTGTATCTTACTTATTTTTCTTAACATGATGGTCTCTGCTTCTATCCATTTTCCTGCAAGCCACATGACTTCATTCTTCTTAAAGGTTTATTATACTCCATTTTAGGTATATGTCACATTTCCTTTATCCATTAATTTGTTGCTGGTCACCTAGACTGATTCCATAACTTGGCTATTGTGAATAGTGCTGCCATAAACAAGGGTGTGTGGTTATCTCTACAGTAGTCTGCCTTTGATTCCTTTGGGTATATACCCAGGACTGGTATAGTTGGATTCTATGATAGCTCTATTTTTAGTTTTTTAGAACCTCCATACTGATTTCCACAGTAGTTGCACTAATTTACATTCCTACCAACAGTATACAAAAGTTCATTTTTTCCTACATCCTTGCCAACATTTGGTATTTTTTGTTTTCTCGATGGTAACAATTCTGACTGAGGTGACATGGAATCTCAATATGGTTTTGATTTGCGTTTCCTTTATGGGTAAAGATGTTAAACATGTTCTCATTTGTTTATTGGCCACTTGTATTTCTTTATTTAAAAGTATCTGTTCGTTTCATTTGTCCATTTATTGATTGTGTTATTTGAGTTTGAGGTATTTAATTTTCAGTTATATATATATATATATATGTATGCTAGATATAAATTGCTTGCCAGATGAATAGCTAGCAAAACTTTTCTCCCATTCTATAGGCTGTCTCTTTATTCTGGTAATTGTTTACTTTGCTGTGTAGACATTTTTTAATTTTGATGCAATCCCATTTGTCAGTTCTGAGCAACTGGAGTCCTAGTCACAGAATTGTTTCCTGTGCCTGTATCATCAAGTCTTTTCTCCTAGTAGTTTCAAAGTTGCACGTCTTTATATTAAAGTCTTTGATCCATGTTGGGTTGATTTTTACACAGGGTGAGACGTAGGGATCAAGCCTCAGTCTACTACATGTGGATATTCAGTTTTCACAATACCATTTGTTGAAGAGGCTACCTTTCCTCCAATATATATTTTTGGCATCTTTTCCCAAAAGCCATATGACTATAGCTATGTTGGTTTCTTTCTGACCCAAAAAGAAAGGCCTATTCCATTCATTTGTGTGTCTGTTTTAGTGTCAGTACCATGCTGTTTTTGCTGCTATTGCTTTAAAGTATAATTTGAGACCAGGAGTTGTGATACTTCCAGTGTTACTGTTTTTGCTCAAGATTGTTTTTGCTATTCAGGGCTTTAGTGCTTTTATAAGCATTAAATTTTGATAAATGGTATCTTTTTAGTATATATTTGTGGTCTAGGAAACAGAAATGCCGGTTCTGGAGCACTCAACACAAAATTTTGCCCCCAGCCCCCATGTGAATGCTCAGCCTATACACCAGTGGGGAAAGAATTTCCAGCAAAGATTTTAGAAATACCACAATATTCTAAAACGATGCAGATAACTGATATTTGACTAAATGGTGTCAGCTCATCTCACCCAAGGCTGTGGCTTTGGCTGTCACCAGGTGACTACATAAGTTCCATTAAGATATTTCCTTCATGTGGAGGTTTTGCTAGATTTGCCTTTACCAGTGGTTGCTTCCTCCATCACAGGAAGGAAATTCAGATACTACATGCACTTTTAATCAAGGTGATAGAAAAAGACAGGAACTTAGGTCTATTCACTGCTTGTTTAGGGCAAGTGCTGGTTTAAGTGCCTTACAGGTATTTAGTCCATTCCCAATCTTACCACAACTCCAACAAGATGATACTCTTAACTTCATCATTACTCATATGAAGAAAACAAAGTAAAAAAAATTAGTATGAAAGAAATCTGAAAGTTGTCAGGATCAAAATGGAGTCACTTGCATCAACCCTAACAAAAAAGAAAGTAAATAAAGCTTGGAGGTGGTGAAGAAAGGGTTCTTAAGCATGATGGGCTGATGGTAACTATACAAAAGACTGTCAGTGTCCCCTTGCACAGATGCCACCACAACCTTAGGTCAAAGTACTCTCTAAGGACATCTTCCAGGCAACTGTCTGTTCAATCTCAGACTGATGCTACTCTTTTTATTATCCATGTGGCCAAGCATTATTGTTTCAAAATATCTGGTGCAATCCTCATCATTTTTGTCTTTAAAAACATGCCCTTGCTCCAACCTCTTTTTTTTTTAATGTACACATAATCTTTTAAATACACCCACAATTTACTATGGCATCTATATTCTCATTGCACTGTCCTACTATTCCACAATGTCTCTCTCTCTCTCTCTCTCTCTCTCTCTCTCTCTCTGTGTCTCTCTCTTTCTCTCCTCCCTCCCTCATTCCATTCCTCCTCACCCCTCTTTCTTTGTTTTACTCAGGGTGACATTAAGAACTTTGCCAGGGAAATACATTTTATAGATGGTTGAGCTAAGGTTTGATCCCTGTAGGTGAGCTCTGGCTCCAGAGCTCTCAGTCTTACCCACTATGCTATACTACCTCCTTAGAAGATAACAAAATCTTTTCATTTTCTTATCATCCTACATTAAAAAAATTGTGGATGTAAAAACAAGCTCAGGGTAAACACTGTTGGGTGAAAAGCAGAAACAAAACAATACAAAAAGTGAACTTAAACCATTCATGAATGTTGAAGCTGAATTTTTTTCAAAGGCTTAGATGTTGGACTGGCTTTTGAAAAGTTCAAATTTTGTCTTCATCCAAATAGGGAATTAGAGTACATATGATTTAAAATGCTTCATTTCTTCAGAGTAAGAAAAATAAATGTGATTCCAGAGATAATGTCAGTAAAGAAGTTGAGCTAGGGATTTAAAAGCCCTATTTGCTAGGCCCATAGATTATAGATCTGGGAATATCTTCTATATACATGTGCTTCTGTCCCTACATCCTAGAAAATCATGCCAACAAAAGTGTATGTTTGTCTGTTCCTATTTGTAAAACAGAAATATGAGCAGAGCTTGTCAATGACTGGCATTGCAGTATAGTTTCCTGTTCCCTTTAATTAGGAGGGAGACACTAAACTCTCTAGAGTTTAGTAGTTATTTGTTACAACACTTTCTATATGACTAAAAAACCAACCAAACAAACAAAAACTTTTTTGTGCGTGTGGTACTGCAGTTTTAAGCTCAGGGTCTGTATATTAAGCCATTTCACCAGCCCTTTTTTTATGATGGGTTTTTTCAAGATAGGGTCTCACAAATTATTTGCCTATGCTGCTTTCGAACCGTGATCCTCCAGATCCAGATCTGCCTCCTGAGCAGCTAGGATTATAGGTGTGAGCCCCTGGTGCCCAGCACAAACAAAAACTTTGATGTCATCTTTAAATACTAAAACATTTGAAGTGATTTTTAAAATGATAACAACCATAAACTCTTATCTAGTCCTTACTAGATAAAAATTAACTTTCTTAATCCCCACAACTACTTTATGAGGGAGGTGAGAATAATGAGGCCAAGAGGTTAGGTAGGGTACCCGAGGTCACACAACTAGTGATGGAATTTGAACCCAGGCATCCCAGGCCAAATGAAAACTCTGAGGGTGGACCTATGCATCGGATCAGATGGTTTGCAAAAGTTCCAGAAGTGGTTCTAATCACAGCCAGGGATGAAACCTATGCATTAGCAAGCCTGACCTGGAAGGCTTGTTAAACCAGATTGCTGGACTCTACTTCAGGTTCTGCCTAAGTGGTTCCCTTGTGATGCTGGTGCTATTGGTCTGAATAATAGGGCCCTGCTCAGAGTGCCTTGCTTTTTAAGTTACTGTATTCTGTTCCCTTGCATTTATGTAGAGAATAATAGAAGTGCCACCAGGAACAAAGTTTACTTTGTAGAGCTTTATTATCTTTTCTTAATTTGCTATCACTTCCATCTATTACTATTGACACAGATGTTAAATAACAATTATAGGAAGCCATTGTTTTGGAGTAAGCTCATGCACTGGGACCTAAAAGATTAGACTAAAAATCAAAATGGAGTCATCTATGCTAACATTCCTCATCACCAAACTAAAAGTAAATTGTCATCTGACCTTTCTAGAAATCAGAAGAAAGACAGACAGCCAAATTCCCCACATGGGAAGGACTATAAAGTTCCCTCTACTTTAATCCTACATCCATTAATCCTTATAAAAAGAAATTAGAGTTATCCAACATTAATCAATCAATTATTTTTCTATTGTTCTGTCCCCTTCCACTAGTCTTATAAGGAAAGTGACTTTGAAATGACCAGTCTACTTTTTGTTCTTTGTTTCAACTCTTCTCTGTCTATAAAACCAACCTCTTCTGCTCAGTCTATTATAATATTACTCTATTTTATGGAATAGAGTTTTTCAATTCTAGAATTGCAAAATAAACTTAATTAAGATCTTTAAATTATATTGTAACTTTTATCCTTTGACACTGTATGATAATATGCAAATTAAAGAATCTTGGAATTTTATTTTGTTATTTGTAGCATCAATTTTTTCTTAAGGAGTATAGGATTAATAATTAGCACAGTGTTGTGATGATGCAATTGTAAACTAATGTATGTAAACATGTCTATTATAGCCCCTGGCACAAAATTGTACCTAACTAAACACATCTTTTTAAAGCAAAAATATGTTCTTAATAATCATAGTTTATTACTATCTTCATCACATATATGTTACAAAAAGAAGATAAAGGATACTTGCCACAGAATTGTCTTTTGCAGACTTGTATGCTTTTATATCTGGAATATTTTTCGCAAACAGTGCTAGGAGACCCCTTTTGGATTTTGACCAGTTTCTACATAAGAAAAAAAGTATGGGTATTAATTTAAAATCATCTTGGGGGTAATAGGTCATAACATTAAGTGTGAATGTCTATGAAATTAGAGTTATTTCTTCCTCGTTTTCAGGTAGAATTTCCATAAGAGAGCTACCTTCAGAATTATTAGTCCACAAGGAGAATTGAGAGAGAAGACAACCACATTTTAGTGTCTCCTGCAAATAAATGTTTGAATTCCTGTTGGATTGGCATTAAATAAGAAAATGGGGTGCACCGCTTTCTTGGTTTACTTTTACTGTGGCTGTTATAAGTAGCAAGAAGATAAAAACTCAGCACAGAAAACAACTGCTAGATTAAACCAGACAAGGCAAAGAGTCATCTTTTTTTTCTCTTTTCTGACCAGTCACAATGTACATTGCAATGGTCTGCACATCTGTGTCTTCTTCAAAAATCACATATTGAAATCCTAATCCACAGGTGATGGTATTGGGAGGTCTTTGGGGAAGCAATTAGAAGATGAAAATGATACCCTCATGAATGGACCTAGAAGGAGCTTGCTCACCCCTTCCATCATTTGAGGACACAGAGAGAGGCTGGCAGTCTGCAACCTGGAAGAGAGCCCTCCCCAGAAACCAACCCTACTGGAACCCTGATTTTGGACTTTCCAGCTTATAGAACTGTGAGAAACAAATTCCTGTTGCTTATAAACCACTCAGTTCATACTACTTACAATGGCTCAAATGGAGTAAGACATAGAAATTTAAAACTCATGCAGCTATTTTGCATTGAATTGTTCTATAAACATTAAACTGTCAGAAATATATTTGACCACACCTACTTTTTCTCCCAAGAAAATGGAGCTGAAACTGGTCACACTTGATTTAGCATGGATCCAAACAGTATTAATATGATAATAATAAGCTATAAATGGGACAAAAGGCCTCTAAATAATTCTTCATCCCATCTCCTTTCCCCTCTCTCCCCTCCTTCCCTCTTCTTTCCTTCTCTCTTCTCTCTCTCTCCCCTCATCAAAAAGAGAAAGAGACAGAAAAAGAAAAAGGCGAGAGTGCATTTCTTTTGTTTCTCCCCCAGTTCACACATGCACACTGGTCATAGAGCTAAGCCAGTAATTCTAGCACTTGGGAAGTTGAAGAAGGATCATGAGTGGACAGTTAGCGTGGACTGACTCACCCCCCCTAAAAATGCAAAAGAAAAGAAAAGCCTTCAGATCATAGAAATAGCTTCTCTCCCACCTAAATTGATATTATCGGTTATAGAAAGCAATGCTACCTCAGGAGCCATTCTGGAATCTGGGATCCATACTCAAAACCCTCATCATAAATTTCAAAATGCTGGTAAAACTCCTTGATTTTCCTCTTGTTTGTGAAAAACAAACCTTTACTAAAGAGTGTATTCACCGTGACTGGATAAAGAAGATGCCTAAAAAGAAAGAGACATACAATAAGTCACACCTAATGACCAAAAAAAAAAAGACACAAAGTACAAAAGAGGGCTATTATTTAATAGTGATATATTAGGAGTAAATAATATGTGACAGATTCTTTTAGGAAAAAGTCACTCTTATGCAGTTTTAATATTTCCTAACTGAAGTCAAGATATAATTAATGGATAATTGAAATTTTGCTTTTATTTATCTGAAGATTTAAAATTCCTTTCAAAGCAAGCATATTAGATCCTGGCAAATAGGAGATGATAAATAAACTGATTCAATACAATTCATTAGATTTTATTTAAAAAAAATAACAACTAAGATATCCTTGCATTCAGATAGTAGAAAAAATAGCCAGAGAATTAAGGGCAATATTAGTCACTAAATTTCCTATAGGATCTCATACAACCAAACTATTGCACACTGAAATATAATCATTATCATTAATGATGGAGTCATAACAATTTTCATGGTATGGGATTAAAATGACTATTGTGGAACACTTCAGAAAAAAGAATATTAAAGATATTATTTAATATTTAAAAGATATTCTAACATCAAAGATATTTATCCTTCCTTCAGGATTTCCTTCCCCAAAAGTTTCAAAAACTATCTAGGGATTTTGCTTTGTAGATACCAGGCATGCTTTAGGAAATTTTTAAGTTTGGTTTGTTATTTTTGCTGCTTCCCTCCCTCCCACTTTTCTAGACCTCTAACAAAATGTTAAATCTCAGTCAGTGTTGAGCAGTAACTGTTGAATTTTGCCTTCAGCATTCCAGGATACCACAGAGGTGAAAAGTCCTTCAGGTACTTCAGTTTGCCAAATCTCTTTATCCACGTGGAGAATTTTTCTCATGGCTCTCTTGCCCAGCCTTTATCTTTTCCAGAAAGCTTCCTAACATGGCTGACTCCCTCTGCAGCTCTTTCCTGTCCCTCTTGTCTCTTAGGACCTCCTTTCTAAGAGCCCTAGGCTCAGTCCAGAGGCCCTCGTTGACTGCTTTCATCGTCTTACTAAGTCCCACAGACATCTCCTGAACCCTTGCTGTCATTCTCTCAATGACTCCATTCTTATCCCTGTCCTTTCAATGTCATTCTATCCTTTAAAAAACAAACAAACAAGACTAGAGCTTTGTGATTGCTAGACGTGCACTTGACCACTTGAGTCAAACCCAACTCTTTTTGGCTTTTATCATTTTTCAGATAGAGTCTTCTGTTTTTTGCCCTGAGCCAGCCTAGGACTCTGATCCTCCCATCTATGACTCCTCACCTAGCTGGGATTACAGGCACATGTAACCATACCCAGATTATTTTGTTGAGATGGGACTCCCTAACTTTTTGTTCAGGGTGGCTTTAAACCATGATCCTCCAGATCTCCACCTAAGTAGTGGGATTACAGGCATGGGCCACTATGCCTAGCCCTTTTCCTATCCTAATAATGACAAATTCCATGGAATGGTGGATGCCTAACGGTTATGAGAGGTAGATCCATGTGAGGTGAATAAAAATATTGGAATGACTTAGGAGATATTATGATGTAGGTCCTAAAGTGATTAAATTGGCTTATTTGCTTACCATAAATTAGAATTTAAAATATTTTTTAAAATCTCTTCAAAGCCTATTTAGGTAGACTACCTTAATCCATCAGATAGTTTTTGAAGTCCAATGTCTTGGTTTCAATGTTTTTATTTAAAGATTAAATTCTATTAAAGCATCTATTTACCTTACTAAGTTGTTCAGGTCCATCGTCCCATGAGTGCCTAAATTTTCCAATTGTTCGTGTAATTCTTCAGTCAGTGGCCCAATAAATTGATATAAGTTGAAGGTCCCCATTTTTCCTTTCATCATCAAATATAGTTTTTCATGCAGTGTGAAAAAGATATTCTTTGGAATTGATGCTATAAACAAAGAAAACTATTTTCAAAATAAGCAACAGCTTCTTGAAGTCAATATACCAGTCAATATACCTCCACTATTGCTTGGTCAACAGGAACTATTGCCAAATTCCTATTAGTACATAAAATCACCTCCTGCAAATGAAAGTAGACAAAGATTCATTCAGTCTTCATTGTGAGGTAGTAAAAGTCTAGAGGGTCAATTGCTTTCAGGAATGTGTGTAATATAGAGTGCTAGTATTTCCAGCCTCTTCCTCTTCCAAATCTAGATTCCAGGTATATTGAAAATACACACTATTTTTCATTTCCCAGGATTTTTCAGAAGCTATTCCATATACTCAGAACACTCTCTGCTTTACCACCCCAACTCCCCTTATACCCACATTGATCAGTCCAAATTTCTTCTGCTAACTTCTATTTATCATTCAGGTGTCTTCTTGTGCATTATTCCTGCCAGAACAACTCTGGCCCCATGATTTCCTTTACAGTAGTATTTGTATTCCTTCCATGATATACTTCTGGTTAGGTTGGGGTGGTGGAAGTATGACTTTGTTTAAAAAAAAACTCATTTTTAAATCTTGTATTGCCTTTGAAGTAACTTTCTCAAAAAAGTAATTTTTAATTGTGTATTGTGTGTAGGTTACACTTTGTATAAATTAATTAAAAACAAATATTAGACTGAGCATGGTGGCAGAATATATTAGAGGAATGAGAAGCTGACTCAAGAGTAAATGTTAAGAAATTTCTTCTGTTAAACAGAAATATTTAAACATGAAAGGCCCAGGTGAAAACTTTGATAATTTCCATATACCTCCAATAGGGAGGGCAGTATATTTTTCTAAAGGGATATGTTACCAAACAGATCAAAATCCTTCTAAATACTTTTACTCTTTGATGAGGAATTCCCTTGCTCATATATCAACAAGCACTTAATCAACATGTTGTGATGTTCATGCAAGCAACAAGGAAAAAATAACTGTGTTATTAGTCACTGACAGCTTTTAAAACAAAGATTTTACCTTAATGGCAAGAAATTCATGAGAGACTACCTGAAAGAAACCTAAGAGGGAAAAAAAGAAGACAGACAGAAAGAAGCCTTAGACAGTAGAATCAAGTGCAAACCCTGTGAAAAGAGAGAAAAGAACCAGGCACAAAAGGAACCAGCTCTGGGAGAGGACACATGGCATTGGCACACATACAGTAAACCCTTGGTAAATGGTTCCAGTAAGACCACTGTTGAGGAAAACCCATGAATGCTCAGGATACACAGAGTTCAGTACTCTGAAATTATTCAAATTTACCTATACTGTATGTATAGTCTAATCATCCATAACAGGAAGCCACATGGAGTAGGCTACATAAGTGTCACAAAATTACTGTTGTACACATTAGTACTGCTCACCAAAAACTAGATCTTCTTTTCTGCTCTTTATCTCAAATGTTGTGGATGCTTAACTCATTTTTCCCATCATGCCACATAACTTCTGCTAAAGACAAGTTGCCTTTCAACAAATCTAAAATTTTCACTTGATCACTTTAATTAAGCATTCTATTTTGACTTGGGAGGCTTACTATAATTATCACCTTGCTTTTAGGGCACTGCTTGCTGTTTTTTGTTTGTTTGTTTGTGGTACTGGGGATTTAACCCAGGGTTTTGTGCATGCTAGGCAAACACTTAACCACTGAGCTACATCCCCAGTCCCCGCTTGCTGTTTGAGAGGCATATTTTCACCAAGTTTAGGACAGGGAGATAGGTAGCAGATCACACCATGATTTAAACATGACTGACAATAACGTAGGGTTGACTGAGAGGTTCTTACGTCAACTGTACTGCTGAATGCATGCACAGGAATTTGAAATGTTTGTTTGTGATGATTCTTTTCATTTTAAAAATTAATTTGTCTTTTTGACCATTTTGTCAAAATCTCATATAATAAATCCATGAATAAGATGGGCTTACCTTAGTTGCAGCCTGGGAAGAAAGGAAGACAGACAGCAACATAGTCCCTTGCAGATTAAATGGTGAATTTGTGAAAGGCAATACCAAGCCCCAGCTAACCTTGCTAGTCCTATGGAATATGTCAAGAATGGCCATAATAAACGGCATAATAAACTAAGCAGAGGAATTCTACTTTCAGGAAGCACAGTAACAACATGTAATGAAGCAGAACAGAGTACGCACACCTTGGGCCCTGTAGCATGACACAAATTCCAAATATTCTCTAGAGAGAACCTCAGGGAGGCAATCCCATGTCTTTCACATGTCTAAATGAAATCCAAATGTATTAGGCTGCCAGAACCTGCTTTTCAACGACAAAATTCATCACATACACTTTTTTCAGTCTAGTCCTATGTCAAAAATAAAATAATGGGCCCTCATCATTTTTGATAGAGGAGTGAGGATGTAGTTTTACCTAAAACTACTTTCGGGTTCCAGTGTTTTCCTTCAGATGAAGTATCTGAAAATATTGTTTACCTGTACGATAGACGGGATTTTGTACTGCTAGTTCAAAATTTACATGTTTGGAATTGAGAAACACATCGATTCCCTCTTCTTCAGTAACAAAAGTCATTCGTTTTCCCATAGCGAAGACTGTAAATATTGGTCCACACTGAGATAGAACACATAAACACAGACATTAGCAGGCATTTTTAAACCATGGGTTGTGCTTAAGAAAGTCTTCCTTAAGAATATCAATGCTGAACTTATGGTCAAGATAAAAATTATTGCGTATATCTGGTAATTTATTATAAATTTTGTCTCAGCCACTTTAAAATTATACAAAACCTAATGCATTGTATCCTAATAATATCTAAAATTAGTTATGATTAATTTGTATCTTTCTTTAGTATGAAATAATTGTTAAAATAATAATTAAAAATAGCAATTAGGAAACAGCTCAATGCTTTGATATTTGCATATCATTTTCAAAATATCAATAGGCTTACAAGCAACAAAAGCTCAAGAAAAAGAAAACTGTCAGGTGGTTTGGAGGAAATTCATGGTCACTCAGCAATGTCTAGACACTTTTCTAATCTGTTCACTTTCTTACTTCCCCAAATGACTATTTTACCTGTACCTCTTGCCCAGCTCTCTCCACTCTGAGATAGAGTCCCTGCCATACAACTCATCAGAAAAAATGAAGGCGTTCAAGTAAGAGCAATCTCCTCTTCTCACCACCAAATCTTGCAAAGAATACATTTTTTGCACCCATTCTCCAGCCTTTCCCTCCTGTTAACAGGGATGAAAGGCCTTCCCTGACCCCGTGAAGTTCCAACTCCTTCACTTGCACTATGAATTCTACACTCTCTTGCTATCTTTTGGTTCTACACTTATGCCTTCTTTCTCTGACACCATTAATTTTTCCCTCTCCTCATATTTCTCCCTGCACCTTACAAACACTGTAGTGTGAGGTTTGATTTCAGAGTCCAGGGGTTTGTTGGAGGAAAAAATACATCACCATTTTCATTGGCTTCTAACTATAAATTAGCATTTTCTTTCATTATGAATGTAGGCAACAAACCATATCATCAAAATAAGTCATCATTCATTTATATCCCATTGCAGTTATTATAAGTATCTCAAAACATCACTCACACTCATCACACTTCAATATTAGTCATTTCTATACTTACCATAAGATGGCACTATTGGGTGCTACCAGGCAACTGTGGGCCCAAAAATCATTGCACCTCCAAAAAGTAAAGTCCCATTTTCTCACATTAGTGATCCAGACATCTACATTGCTCTCCAATACTACCAATCTACAATTGTTTTCTTATCAACACTTAGAAGAAGGTGGGTCATTTTCATTATCTGTTAAAGTTTTGTTCAAGTGAGAATTCTTAACTTTACAGTAGGAAAGTGGTCTTTTATAGCATGCATTAGGTAAGGACCAAATTCAAACACATTGAATAGCTGAGATTACTGCTGCCATGTGATATTTAAAGAATTCCAGTACAACTGCATGGTGGAAAATATTCAAGCGCAGTCTTATAAATTCTGTAGCAGTTGGGTTTTTTTGCTTTATATTTATCCCTTTTGCTCTCCTTTATTTTATTTATTTTTGCGGTACTTGGGTTTGAACTCAGGTAAAACACCTTGAGCCACTCCTCCAGCCTTATTTTTGTGATGGTTTTTTTTCAAGATAGCGTCTCGTAAACTGTTTCCCCTGGTTGGCTTCGAACTGTGATCCTCCTGATCTCTGCGTCCTGAGTAGCTAGTATTATAGGTATGAGCCACTGGTGCCTGGCTGTTCTCCTGGGTTTTTTGTTTGCTGTTTTTTTTTTTCAATGTCAGTAGCCTCAGTGTTATGAAATAAAGGCAAGCACACACAATATATTTTTTAAAAGTGGTGCTTGAGTATTTTCTAATTAAACCGTATTTTGAGAAAATTATAGGTTAACAGACAGTTATAAGAAACACTAGAGAGAGCCTATGTACACTTTACTCTGTTTTCCCCAGTGTTAATGTTATAGTACAGAGTCAGTATAGGTTATTGACACTGGTGCAATCAAGTCATAAAACATTTCCCTTAGAAGGATCCTCGTGTTGCCTTTTTACAGCTGTGCTCACTTCCCTCCCACCCTCTTCTGCTCCCTGTGGCCACCACTGATCTGTTCCCCTTTTCTGTAATTCTGAATTTCAAGAGTGTTATACAAGTGGAATCAGAGTGTACGAACTTTCGTGACTGGCTTTTTTTAATCAGTATGATTCTACAGAGATTCACCCAGATTGTTGTGTGTATCAACCCTTCGTTCCGGTATTCCTGAGCAGTATTCCACAGTATGTTGAAGGGCATTTGTTGGAGGACATTCGGGAACATCCTTTTTTGGTTTGGGGCTATTGCAAATAAGGCTTCTATAAACATTCATATCTGGGTTATTGTGTAAGTTTTTGTTTCTCCAGGATAAATGTGGAGAAGTACAATTGTTGTGTTATACGGTGAGCTGCATATTTAATTAACAATCTGATACAGTGTTTTCCAGAGTGGCTGGAAAATTCTATATTTCCACCAGATATACGAGTGATTCAGTTTTTCTGTGTCTTTCTCATTGTCATTCTTTTTTGTGTGTGTATTTGCCATCCATATATCCTCTTCCTGACATGTCTGTTCATGTCCTTTTTTCTAATTTAATTTTACTGTTGAGTGGTGACAGTTCTTTATATAGTCTATGTACCAGTCCTTTGTTGGATATGTGGCTAACAAATATTTTATCCTAGTCTACAGCCTTTTCTTTTCAACCTCTTCATGGGTGCTTTCACAGAACAATTTTTTTTAAATTTTGACAAGTTTCAATTGATGGATTTTTCCCATTTAATGGATTGTAATTTTGAAATCAAGTCTCAGAACTATTTTCTAACTCAAGATTAAGATGTTTTCTTATTTTTTTAAGTTTTATACTTTTCTTGTTCTACATTTAATTTATATTTATTTGTATTTTTTGTTTAAGATGTGAGAGTTAGGTTAAGCTTCTTATTTTGCTTTTTAGGTATTTTTTTTAATTGGCTTACAAGTATCTAATTGCTTCACCATTTTACAAGACTACCTTTAACTCCATTGAATTACTTTTGCATCTTTACCAAAAATTAATTGAACATTCTATATCTGAACTCTCTATTCTGTCCTATTGGGTTTTTTTTTTGTCTGCCCTTCTGTCAGTATCAGTATTGATTAGTAATAAGATCTGAAATGGATTGGAATGATTCCTCCTGTTTTATTTCTAGTCAAAATTGTTTTAGGGATTTCAGTTCCTTTCTGCATAGATTTTAGAATAATTTTGTCTATATCTACAAATCTTGTAGGGAATTCTGTAGTGCACATGTTCACCTGGATTTTAATTGGTGGACAACTGACATTTTTCCTATGTTGGCTTTTCTAATCCATGAACACAGTATATAACCTGGTTGAGATCTTTGATATTTTTAGTCAGTATTTTGTAGTTAGCATATAAGACCTGGGCAAATGGTATTGAATTTATACTTTTTTTGAGTGATTGTAAGTGTATATTTTAATTATGATTTCTGCCTATTCATTATTAGTATGTCACAATATAATTGATAATTGTATTTTGACCTGTGTCCTGTGATCTTACTAAACTAACTTCCTAGCTCTGAGAGCTTTTTTTTTGTAGATTCCTTAAATTTTCTACATAGACAATAATATCCTCTGAAAATTGGGAGTTTCACTTCTTCTTTTCCAAACTATGTGTCTCTTATTTCTTTTCCTTGTTGTATGCACTAGCTAAAATTTCCAGCACTATGCTGAGTAAGAATAGTGGTAACAGAAATCATTGCTTTGATCCTAATCAGAGAGAGGAAATGCTTGGTCTTTCATTAAGTAACTTCATAGCTGTACGATGGTTTTGATTAAATTGAAGGAAGTTCCTTTCTATTCCTGCTTTTCTAAGAGTTGATTTTTTAATCGTGAATGAATATTCAATTTTGTCAGGTGTTTTTGCCACACCAATTGAGAGGATCCTGTGCTTCTATTTGCATATGCAGCCTGTAAATATGGTGGCTTATATTGATTTTCAAATATTGAATAGTCTTGCACCCTGTGATAGACTCAACTTGGCAATTCCATTCACATACTGCTGGGTTTCATTTGCTGATATATATATATATATATATATATATATATATATATATATATATATATATATTTAATCCAACCACCCTGAGTTCTCCGGAGTGGGGCGGGAAATAGGCCAATCTGCCCCATAAACACACACTGCTTCGGGATTAAGGAGCGAGGGAGGATAGGCATCATTTGCTGATATTTTGTGGCATATTTTTGCATCTATATTTACTAGGTGTAGTTGTCTCACTCTCTTCTTTTGCACTGAATTTGGTTTGATACTGTTTCATAAATATGCTGGGAAGTATTCACTCTCTTCTACTTTTTGGAAGAGATTGTGTAAAATTGATTATTACTAGCTGGGTGCAGCAGCTTATGCTGGGAGTCTGAGATCAGGGCATCATCGTTCAAAGCTTGCCTAGGCAAAAAGTTTTAGAGACCCCCATCTCAACCAATAGCTGGATGTGGTGGTTCACGCCTGCTATCCCAGCTACATGGAAAGGCTAAACAGGAGATTACATCCCAGACTAGCCTGCATATAATGAGACCCTTGAAAAATAGCTAAAGCAAAAAGCACTGGCCGTGTAGCTTAATTAGTAGAGTGACTGCCTAGCAAGTACAAGGCCCTGGGTTCAAATCCTGTACTGCAAAAAAACAGAAAAACGTTACTTCTTCTTTGGGAATGATGTTCCAGTGAAATAATACATTTCATGTAAATTGTTCGTTTTATGTATGTAGGGTTATGCATAGGATTCTTTTATCAGTCTTTTGATGTCTACAAAGTATGCAATGATGTCCCCTGTCTCATTCTTAACTTTGGTTGAGTGTGGAGTCTCTTTTCTGTCTTGCATGAGGTCTGGTAATGGTATTGATCTTAATAACTAACCTTTCATTGATTTAGTCCATGTTTTCTGTTTCAAAATCATTGATTTCTGCTTTCTTAGTATTTTTTTTTTCCTTCTGTGGCTTTGGTTATTTCACTCTCTGGTGGTGATTATTGATTTGGAAGCTCAAATAATTGACTTCAGACTGCTCCATTTTTCTAGTAATCAGTACTTAATGATACAAATTCTAATATTGTGTTTTTATTTTCATTCAGCTCAATGTATTTTTATTTCCCAAGAATCTGAGTTAGAATACTCAGAGAGGTTGATAGTTATGATAAAAGAGTTAAAATAAAACAAAATAATGGATGAAAAAAAACACTAGCCAAAAGAAAATTGGGGTAGCTACAATAATATTAGAGAAAGTAAATTTAAGATATATTATGACAACTAGGGCTGTCAAATATTCTTAGTAGGCATCCTAAGCAAGATCTGCTTAAGTAGATAGGTTGAAGAAGTTTTTAAATTAAGCTATTTTAATGTAGAGAACTTTGTCTTTTGGGGAGATGTTTGCCAGCTGGATCCTTTGCCCACATTTTCAGGATTCCTCATCTTATAACTGTGGGGGGCTGAGGGGTTAAGACGGATACCATTTCCTTCGATAGAACTGAAAAATTGTGAAACTTAATTGAGCCAATATTTTTCCAAGAGTTTGCATAAACTACTCACTAACTGTCATTTTTGTAAAATACCTAAATTGGGCTAGTGCACTTTGGAGTACTGTTTCCAAATAGTTTCCACTGTGTCAACAAAAAGGTAATCTTAGATAGCTGCAAGTGGGCAGCTGCATACCATCGTATCTTTCACATAACTTTCCCAGTCAAAGTCTCATGCTTATAAAAAAAAGTGTAACTCATAACGTAAGACTGGCATAATGGCTGGGAATGTGGCCTGTGGTAAGAGTACTTGCCTAGCACGGGCAAGGGCCTGGGTTTGATCCCAGTAGCAAAAAAAAAAAAAAAAAAAAGAAAATTGAAAAGATTGATGTAAAAATCCTCTGTCTAAATTACAAAGTACAAAGTATCAGGTTCACAAAATGAGTTTTGCAACATGGGACTTTTTATTAGTTAATGACTGAGGAGTCAACAGGGTAGGATCCACTGCCAAGCTGACATGGAGGGTGGCAGGATTCAGTTGTCCACAAGCTATTGGATTTCAGGTCTTAATACTTTACTAGTTGTTTGTCAGGGCTTCCCTCTGCTTCCTGTCTTATGGACTTCTCCAGTATGTTAGATCTCTTCATCACAATGTGAGCTGAGAAGGAAATAGAGTCTGTGATCCAAGTGAACGCACACAGGCAGAATCCTAGCCCTATTCACTAGAAGTGAGTTACTAGAGTCAGACGTGTTGGTGCACACTTATAATCCCAATTCTCAGGAAGCTGAGGCAGGAAGATCAAGAGGTCCAGGCCAGCATGGGCTACATGGTAAGACCTTATCTTGAAACACACAAACATAAACAACAAGAAACCAGGAGGAGTTACTTTGCCCTGCTGACACTAAGATGAGATGATTATAGGAGAGACTAGAAAGCAAAAGGTGGTGACCATTGTGGGTTAACTTAGAATCTGACTACCACGTGCTTACTTATGGGGCCATGTATCCTAAAGAAAAACAAGTAGGAGTTCTATATGGTATTGATATTTAATATTTTAGTATCTTTTGACAAAAGAACAGTATTAATAGTATGATGCATTTTGCTTACAAAGGATGGACAGTAAGATTCCATAACTGTATTTGCTTGCCTAAGGCTAAAAACACTGAAATATATGAAAGAAATGGGTTACAGTGTTACCAAGGTTAGAAATGAGGACTGAGAACTGAGTGGAAAGGAGAGAGAAGTCAGAGGTGTTTTTAACTGTAGTTTTATATTTTAAATTTCTTGACTATCGATGCATAATCCACTCAAAGATTAAATTAAAATAAAGGGAAGATTTTTGCTGTCATCACAATTCTCTGCCTTCTCCAGGGGGCTGAAGCTGAAGGTGATTATCATGATGGAATTTTAAAAGTTATCTCTTGAAAATTCAATATGTCATAAATAGTGCCATACAGCTGCCATTTAAATACATTTCCCATCAAGGCTACAAATTCAAACTACTGCAGCTCCTGTGAAAAAGCAGAATGAACATCCTATTCAAAATTTGGTTCAGATATCAAGATTGATGACATTATAAACACAAGAGGTTATAGAAAGAGTTATTTCTTACACACTGGGGCAATGGGGCTTTTCTGGGAAGAATATGGTTCCCCCCTCCAAGCTATTCTGAAAATGGCTTGAGAAAGGAGACTGGGGGCCGGGCATAATGGGACACACCTGCAATCCCAACATGCAGGAGGACTGAGAGTTTGTGACCATCTTGGACTACATAACCAGAATTTTAAAAAAAAAGCAAAGAGCAAACAAAAAACTGGGCTTTGAGGTTGTTTGCGGTTAGGGAGTACGTCAGTATGAGCATTCCTGCTTGAGGTGTGGGGTTCATTGGTTTAAATCCCTCCTGGCACCAAGTTAGGTGTGTCCATCCTTTCTACTCATCCTGAGCAAATGGGCAGTACAAGAGAAGGTGCAAGACTGAGGCTTAAATCCTTTCAGCACTCAAACATCAAGCAGTGGAGTCATATTCTTTGAGTATCAGAAAATGATAACATACTCCACCCTATAATACAATAATTGACTCATATAACATATTTCATGTGATCAGGAAAGCTACAGAACATTGCACATATTCGATCTAAGACAACCTTATAAAAACATCAAAATCACAAGCCTCTGGAAGGCTGTGGGAGACAAAGTAGCATTTCTTTAAGAGAGAGCCTTTTTTTTACCTATCAAAGTAGCTTAAATTATAAAGAATTATGGCACCTAGTGTCCTCCAGGATATGAGAAGCTAGGCAATTCCATGTAATCAAAGGAAGATAAAAAGTGTATATTGTCACATCTTTTTGCAAAGGTAACACAGGATATATACAATGATAATAATATAAACAACTTAAGTGTGCATGTCTCCATATGCAATTCTACTTTTAGGAATTTATTCTCAGGAAATGATCAGGTAAGTACAAAATGGACAATTACATGCACACATGTAAAAACATTCATTGAAACTGGCCGAAATGAAGAAAAACGTTAGTAGCACCTACATACCAGCCATTGGGAGCTAAGAAAGTTACCATATCCTCACAAGATGAAACATAGCTATCTAAAAACAAGACTCACAGACTTAATGACATGGGAAAACTACTCACAATGATGTTAAATTCAAGAGCACATAAAGCAGAATTATAGGATTATTCCCTTGTTTGTAAAAAGATTTGTAAACACATAGACAAAAAGCCAAAATAATATATACAAAATTTGTACAGTGTTTTATTTCTAGTGAGATATTCGTTTTCATTTTAGTTCTCTGCAGTCTGCAGTATTCCCCAAGATTTTTCTTTTAACAAAATTGGACTCTCAGAGATTTTGAGGGTGAATTGTCAGCAGTGTTTAGTGTTGCTCTGTGTGATATTATTTTGAAAACTGGGCTAAGCAGCTGCAATCTATGTTGAGAATGGCTCAACATAGAAAGTACTGCACTATAACACATAAAAATGGTGATGGTAAGACAACACAGATTTATTAGACACAGTCCATAAAATCTTGGAGGCTGAAAAATGATTAAAAATGTAAAAGACCAACAGATGTCTGTTCTCCGGTGTGCTCAGACATTTGAAACATACTTTGGGACAAAAACATCTATTACAGGAAAGATTACTCGTCTGAGGATGTAGAGAAATGGAGGTCCATCACCAACAGGATCAGCTGAGAAACCGATGGCTCTTAAATGTGTAAAGATCAACTTCGCAAGCAATTTCTACAAAATCCTGCCATTAGCTCTACTTTGCATACGAAATTATCACTCGTTTTCACAGATTTTAGTTGTTTTAAACTTCTGTCTTTCCCAGTTATGTCAAGCTTTTAGTATGTATACACTTAGCATTTAACTACAACGAAGTAACTAGCGCTCACAAGTTAGTCTCTACTTCCAGTAAGGCAGATAGATGCAAGCTGCATTTTTGTTTCATTTCCTTCGCAAAATCTTGCAAAGGACATGGACTCCGATCTTTGGTAAGGAACGGCTAGATTATTTAATTGCTGGAAGCAAGTATGTTCTCAAGTACTGCAGTTGAGAGTCAGTGAAAGAAAACAGAAAAGAAAATAGTGTCTCCTCCAAAAGCCACATACCTTGATCCTTGCTTTCTCTATAAATTCTAGAGGGGCTTTCCCAAACTCAAATCCAGCTCCAATCCAAGGAATCCAGCCTTCGATGCACGGGGGTCTACACAAATTCTTCCGTTGGAGGAATAAGAAAAGAGCAACGCAGCCTAGGACCGTGATCACTATTAAGGAAATTAATTCCATGTTGTCCATCATCTCAAAGCAGAGAAATTTGAAAAAAGTCCTACTGCCCTAGCACTTTCTCCTTCCCTGGGTACACCCGCTGGGCCTCCTAAACTTTCTGCTTCAGCGTTTGCAACTAGTCCTCTTTTGTAACTGTAGCGTCTTTTCTCCGCCCCAGTTTTGAAGTGATTTTTGCGTCCTCGCTCCCTCCCACCTCCACCTCTCTTTTCCCTCTCTTTGGAATCTTAGCCTCCAAGCGACAGAGCCAAGAGCGGTGCAGGGTTAGGATTGGCTGAAGCCAGTGGGCGGGAACACGCGCTGTTGCTGTGGAGACCGGGCGCAAAGACGCAGCGGGGCATCTCGCCGCGAGCCAATCAGAGTGGTCACGGGGCCCGACGGACTACGTTTCCCAGGAAATGCAGCGCGTTGGTTCCGCTTGGTTTGGGGGCTGGCTGTGGGTGCAGCGGGGGCTGCCGGACCGCTCAGTCCTGGGGCTGCTAGGAAGGCGGCGGGTTTGCCGAGCCGAGTGACGGACATGGTTTCTCCCCGACCACTTGCGGGCTGAAAAGGGGCCGCCCTGGCGCGGTTGCAGCGGCGAGAAGCGGTGCATTGCCGTCCTGACCTGCTGCTGAATGTCTGTCCCGAAGGATGCGGAGAAGCTTTTGCCGTTGGCGCAGAGATGGCCCCGGGCGAGCAAGTTCCTGCTGTCGGGCTGCGCGGCCACCGTGGCCGAGCTAGGTACCCGGCCGCCCCCGCGTGGCCTCCCGGGCAGGTGGGGCTGGGGGAGGCGTGGGAGCCGGGAGCATCCTTGAGGTCGCGCCCTCCTCCCGAGCCCGCCTGGGGAGGCGGCCAGTGGAGGTCCCCGAGGTCCTCGCCTTCCGGCTTCGTGGCTTGTGCCTGAATGTACACTCTTAGGAGCTGTTACTCCTCTTTAGGAATCATTGTCCCTCTCCGGACTTTGACCTTTATCACAACAGTCCATTCTTTATCCTTACTGGTATCATTTCTGTCGTGAATTATGGGTTTTTTTTTTCCTATTTTTTGTATCAGCGCATTCTAATTGAACAAAAGGGTTTCCTTGTGGTATTTCCATACCTGCGTATAATGTACTTTGACCAAATTCATCCCCTCTATTACACAACCTTACGGAGTCTTTTGGGTCCAAGTTGTGGAGCTACCTTGTGGTACTTCAATTATAAATTACTCGTTTTTGAGCATCCACTTAACATCTTCCAGTTACCTGACCTCTGAGCTGAACTCATCTATATTATGTTTACCTTACAGGAAGGATCCTGAGATGTTAATAATACATAAATGCTAAATCCAAGGCAGAGTATCTATTAATTGTGACATTATTATGATTACTGCAGTAGTAGGGCCTTTAGGGTATGTAGTTGAAAAGACCCAAGTCTGACCTTCTTGCAGACTGGTGGAGAGATATGGAGAGAAAGGCTGTTACGATGTGCTACTTACTATGATAAAATTATTTTTAGGTATCACAAAAGTGAAGAACAGTTTTATCTACCTCAGTGAGTCAGAGAAAAACTTTTAAGAGACCACCTAGAGTGGGATTATGGTGCCCTTACATAAGGAGATGGTGTTTCTCCCAAGGGTTTTGTGAGTTGTGTCTGTGTTCCCAATGAAGCTTTAACTGTGTATTTTAAGATCATCCTTACATTTTCTTGCCCATTAAAAAAAGAAAGAGAAACAGCTTTGATGCATTAGTCATTTGAAAATGTTACTCAGTCCTGTTCTGACATGAGTTTATTTTGTATTTCTAGCATAGCCAGCACGTGACCTGTTGTTTTGTCTTTTGTCCTCTTCCCCTCTTGCCCCTTGGCCCCTCTATTTTTATTTTTATTGCTTGTACTGAAATAAAAATCCATCAGCTTTTAAAGAAATCTAAAATCAGATTGCTGAATTAGATACATCGCTAGGTGGTAATTTTTGTTTATGTCATTGTTTAGAGATACTAGGGCTTGAATTCAGGACTGCATGCTTGCTAGGCATTTGTTCTACTGCTTGAGCTACACCTCCAGCTCTTTTTGCTGTGGTTATTTGTGAGATAGCATCTTGCTTTTTGCCCAGGCCAGCCTTCTGAACCTCGATCCTCCTATTTTACACTTCCCACTATAGGTGGAATGATAGGCACATGCCATCATGCCATCATGCCCAGGTATTGGGTGAGATGGGAGTCTCAGAAACTTTTGTCCGGGCTGTCCTCAAACCAAGATCTTCCTGATCTCAGCCTCCCAAGTAGCTAGGATTATAGGCGTGGGCACCAGCACCCAGCTTCCAGTTTTTTAACAGATGTTTCTTCCTGTGACTCAATGGCTTTTGTACAGGAACCCCTCTCCTGTTAAAAAGTTATGTTGAGCATTGTGTGGGGGAGAAATGTGGATGAGAGGCAAGGGAATCAAACTATGGTATGGTTTTGAGGTTTTGAGTGTGCATCAATTCAGGATCAGAACCTGAAACATAAGTAACCAGAAAGAAAACAAAAACTTATTTTGAGAAGCATAATCTGGGCCAATGTTTTAATATGTGAGTTAAAAACACTGCTTGAAGTCTATATATACAGGCTATTTCTGTTAAAGGGTAACTTTCAACAAGATATTAACTTTTCCAAAGACCACACACACACACACACACACACACACACACACACACTATTTTCTTTTAAAAAACATGCCTGCTAGGATTTTGTATCAGGTGGTGGTCATTAAAAAGTCTTCTGTAATGTCCCATTGTTCATGACTTGTTCAAATGTCATAATTTCTGTTTCGCAGGACATTATGTATATAAAGTTATAAACTTGATCTTCCTTATGTAGGTCAGGTAGCTTAACTCAGCTTTGAGATAAAAGATGTATCTCTTAATTAAAAATGTAAACAAAAAATTTTAAACAAATATAGTTGGAATTTGTAAAGAGGCCATGCATGGGTAGGCCATTCATAAAAGTTCTCAGTGCTGGTAAAACAATATAGGCCTAATTCAAAGAGCATACCACTGTATATCAAAGAAGACAATGTAAATTCCATTGCATCTTCTGTATCTCCATCATCAGGTCTGTGACATTGACATCTTCTTGTGAAAATTACCCACAAAACTATAGACCTCAGCTTCATCTTGCATTTATTGTAGTACATAAGAACTCTTAAATAGCATGTAATTCTAAAGTTATATCAGGTCTTAAACCATTGTGGCTGCAGTCAAGGGGACATCATCGAATATAGATACTTTAAATTGTCTCTCATTGGAAACCAAAATTTAAAGTGTATTTTTAGAATGAAACTTCTAAATTTAAAAAGCTTAAAAGGTTGCCATATTTTGATTTTTTTTTTTTTTTTTTGAGACAGTCTTACTATGTAGCTCAGGCTGGCCAGGAACTCAGGATCCTTCTGTCTTAGCCTCTTGGGCTGGGATTACAGACATGTACCAGCATTTGGCACATTTTGACTTTTTTTAAAATTGGTGATCTAAGATGCTCTTGGACAGTGATTCTTAAATTTGGGAGTGCATGAGAATCAACTGATTCTAAACCTCTATTAGTCTACTGAATTAGGACACATGGGAATGGAGCTAGGAAGTCTGCATTTGCAATATCTCCTTCACAGATTCTAACATATTCCAAAATTTAAGAACTATCAATTGGGAAAAATATTAGCCCTGTGAGTTTAGAATTTTTGTTTGTTTCTCTGAATGTGGTGGGGTTTTTTCCCCCTTGTTTGTTTTTTATTGTTGTTGTTAGCAACCTTTCCCCTTGATCTCACGAAAACTCGACTCCAAATGCAAGGAGAAGCTGCTCTTGCTCGATTGGGAGACAGTGCAGGAGAATCTGTCCCCTATAGGGGCATGATTCGCACAGCGCTGGGAATCATTCAAGAGGAAGGCTTTCTGAAGCTTTGGCAAGGAGTGACACCCGCCATTTACAGACACGTAGGTATTTATCTTGATTTTGGCCGGTAAGTTTGTTATGAGTTCTGTGTTTGTCTCCTCTGCTTTTCTTTTCAGCTGTATCCAAAATCCAGCTTGTTTTTCCCCCACTGATAAGATAAATCAGTAGAAGAAAACTACCCTCAATTCTTACTATACTAAATTTTAGAAATGCATATGGCAGTATTTAGGTAAGAACTATCATCTCTGTTAATATGCTTTAAAATTGCAGGGTATTTTATATCTGCCTTATTTTATGCAGGTATAAAATTTCATATTTTATAAAATATAAAAGGGAGTTATATATTATTTTCTCATTATTCTATATGCTGGAAAATTTTCCTAACAAAAATTCTTTAAAGACATACAAAAGGAAAAAAAGTGAATGATTGATATCATTTTCCTCTGCTTCAGAAACTTGAAACACACAAGATTAGTTCGTCCATGTTCTTTGAAAATCAAAAATCAAAAACCAAATCTCATGAATTGCTCTTCCATACATTAGAGACCAGCCTGCTATGAGAAAGCACAGGCTCCTATCCTACCTCATCCAACTCTGGCACTAGGCACATACCATGGAGGTGACTTCTGCCTCAGTTCCTCAGGCTGCCTACCTTCCACTGTGGGACAATAGTGGTAATGATGCCACTGAAGTCACTTACCTACTCTGCTTCTGAAGTGGCACTCACAGGAAGAAGAGTGGTTAACTGGTCAGCTCGTAAGCAGGAGAACATGAACTTCGCTTCAGAAGGATATAAAATAGGTGTGGCATTCCTCTCCATGTTTCCTTAAATGTGTAGGGACCTTTGGCTAGAAAAGTGCCCATTTCACATACTTTGTAGCTTAATATTTTTAAAAGTTCCATTTTTCAGATGAGAAAATTAGAGTGTATTCATCAGTAACAAGCCAGAATTGTACATAAGAGACTCTTAACTGTTTTTATTCTTTATGTATTTTTGGTTATCTTGAACTACAAGGTCAAGCTTCCTGACATATCAAGAAAAGCTCTCTGTATGAATACAAAATGTTATTTTCTACTTCTTAACATATTTTCTCCTTTGTGTCCGTTATTGTTTTGAGTTTCACTTTTCATTAGTATTTTGTTGACCACCATATAATTGTTTGTACAATTAAGATTCCTTTCACATCTTTGAAATGTGACTAAAAAAACTGTTAGTAAATTCCCCAGCAAAGTTATATATGTTTATTCAATGAAAATGCCTGGTTTTTACCAACCTATGTATTAGAAATTTGAGGATTTAAAAAGAAAAAAAAAAAGCAACAACCACAGAACCTGCCTGATCTGATGGCCATGGTCTGATGGCAAGATAAGCAAGAAGGGCAAGGTGATGGCTGATCAGTAAGATAATTGCTATGTTAATGTATGCAATGCCAACCTAGAATATTGGGGAAAAGTTAAAGAATATTTTCAGAAAAACATATTATTTGGGTTGAGTCCTGAAAGACTTGGAGGAGTAAACAAAGCAGAGAAGGGATAACCTATTCTAGAAAAACTAGACAAGGATCGATAAGTCCTGAGATTTAAAGGAACATGCATCATTTGGAAGAAATACTAAGATGTCCATGTGTGAGGAGCAGAGGGTACCTGAAAGAAAAACACAGCTAGAGAGATAAACTAGGCCAGGCCAGAATGTCCTCTTATTTTAGCACAGAGCTGAATTTACCTTTTTAATGATCTGTTTTCACAGTGTACTCTGGAGGTCGGATGGTCACATATGAACATCTCCGAGAGGTTGTGTTTGGCAAAAGTGAAGATAAGCATTATCCCCTTTGGTAAGTTTTGTTTTGAAAAATTATCTGTTAGGTTTATATAAAATTGTACATTTGTATTAAAATTGCTTTGAGTTATACACTTAAATAATTGCAATAGAAATTCAAGTAAGTAATTGAGCATTTACTACACATTACATACAGGCATAGATTTATATACGTGTATAAAGTGTGAGTATGTTATTTATTTAACATTTTAATATTAAAAGAATTCTAAGGAAGTGCCTTTTTTCCAAATACTAACCAACTTTACTGTTAGCTTGGTTTGGTGAATATAAATATTACACATGAAACCATTGGATTATGTATTTTTATGATTATAACAATTACCACATTATTCTCTATTTTAGAAGTACTATCTTGATGACATTCTTTGGTGAACTTTGGGTTTTATATATCTGATAAAATCTTTAAAATTTTTCATGTATTTAATGTATTTGGATTACCTGAATACCTAAATGTTATTTAGACATCATTGATCCCAGAATAAAATTTCCAAATGAAAAATACTATCTTAGAAAGAAGTCATACAAATAAAAAGAATAACATCTTTTTCTCCTGCAAGCTAACTTGTGATTAATGCATTTTTTTTCTTCCAGGGTAAGGATTTTACACTATTACAAGTTTTTGTATGGTGCGATTCTTTAAGCCTATGTCAAGGAAGTAAACTACTCTCATTTTGTATCAGTTTTATTAAATAAAAAATGAACAGTAAAACCTGTAGACTTCTAAACACAAGCACAGCTTTTGCCTTTATCACACCATTGCATTGTTCCTATTTTAGCCTCCCTTATGAATGATTTTAAATTTCTTAAAGAAACAATACCTGGGAGTGAATTTGACAGCCAGTTCAGATGTTTATATCATTGAAGCAACTGCCCTTTTCTTTGGATTTCAGGCCATGTAAGATCATAAATTTTGGATTTTAGCTTTTGCTCCTTTTGGTCCTTTAACATTCTGATCAGTAAACAGCCAAACCATCTACTTTTCTCTGCTTTATTTGGGTCTGTCCTGTTTTTCATTTTGTCTCAAATCTTTTACTCCCAGCCTGTACCAACTTAACACTGGTTCACTATAAAATTTGTGAAATTAATGGCAACTTTAAAACATGCATCTCCTTTTACAATTAGGAAATCAGTCATTGGAGGGATGATGGCTGGTGTTATTGGCCAGTTTTTAGCCAACCCAACTGACCTGGTGAAGGTTCAGATGCAAATGGAAGGAAAACGGAAACTGGAAGGAAAACCATTGAGGTAAGTTCTCCAATTAACTGGCCTTTTCTAAAGGATAATTACATTTATCCAAAATTTGATTTTTGTGTATTCCTTTCATTTCTTGTGATTCTGGATGTATAAGGTATTATTTTACTCCAAATTGTACCTGCTGTTGGTGAAACATACCAGTTGCATTCCATACACAAGAATACATAGAGTTTTCAATTTTATTATTATTTTCCCTAGATTTCGTGGTGTGCATCATGCATTTACAAAAATCTTAGCTGAAGGAGGAATACGTGGGCTGTGGGCCGGCTGGGTGCCCAATATACAAAGAGCAGCGCTGGTGAATATGGGAGGTAATGGAAACTTCATTGAATTCTGAGAAGTTCTAATTGCCTTAATAATTATGAATACTGATTGCTAAGATATGAATTTTTATTGTGTTTAATAACATGTATTGGTGACAGGCTGCATATATGTTATAATGTCATAACTAAACATTTTCTTAGAACATTTTCACTTTATTCTGTAGCGATGTATGAACAGGATTTCTTAAGATTCTAAGATCAGCAAAATTGTAGCAATAGGGGGACAGGACTAAACTACTTCTAAGGTCTCCTTTCCAGTCCATACCTTTCTTTAAGATTAAAATTGATATATGTAACTATCTGATGGTCATTATATCCAGATTGTCCAAGTCTTTCCCCCTGGTAATTCTTGCTCCTATTCCTACTTAATTCATCTTGCATGGCCTGGCAAGCCAGGCAGAAAACATTAATTTCCCATTAATTTATCCCTACGCTTCACTTCTCAGTTATCATTTTCATTTTTTATAGTGTAATTATAGTCTGTTTTTATTTGTCAGTTATAGCTCAATAAAATTAGAAAATATGAAAGGTTTTTAAAAGATATATCAGACAAATACTAATTTTTTATTCAGAAATGGTAATAAAATGGTAACATGTACTGCTGGTAATGCTATAAGCTACGCTAAACAGAAAATTTGAGAGAGAAAGTATTTTGAAATAAAGAAACTAGTTATATGTTGATAGATGGCTTCATGAAGAAAATATAGCACCTACCTTCAAAATACAGAACATATTGCCAGGCACAGTGGCACATGCCTATAGTCCTATTACTTGGGAACCTGAAGGCAGGGGGATTGCAAGTTTGAGGGCAGCATGGGCTACATAGCAAGACCCTGTCTCTAAACCAAACAAAGCAAAATAAAATATAGATCATAGAAATACGTATAGATGTAACATTTTATAATGACAAGAGATTAATGGCAAATTCACCATTAGACCAAAATAGTCTTACCACTAGTAATAGAAAGATATGAACTATATGTGCTGGCATTCCAGCCATGCACACACACCAAAATGAACACAAAATCTTCATGAGAAAGCTTACAGCAACAGTGAAGAAAAAAGCAGCTATTTTTTCCTGCTTAGAAAAGAATAATACAGAATTTGAGGTACAAAATGAAAGCCTCATTCCTGTCATCCTATGGTTTCATGTCTGAATGTCATCTCATGTATATGCACAGCAGGCCTTGGGAAGGTAGAGTCCAAAGTCACCAACTACTTTCATCTTCTAAATTCTTCTTAAAAGTTTCTCCCCTCCAGTGTCTACTACCTTAGTATCTTTAGTGTGACCATTTCTATCATATCAACCATTAAAACCTCTGAACTTGACTATTGGCACAGCTTGTCTCCTCCTCCATCCTCACATTTGTATCCAGTATCCAGAGTGAGTTATCTACATACAGATGCAGACATAACTGGTGTCCTTAAAACCCTGCACTAGTTTCTAATTATTGAGATAACAAAGTGGAAATTTCTGCACTGTATAGAAGTTCTGCAAAATGTGTCCTGTGTCTTCAAAGAACTGAGCAATTCATTGATTCTGCTGGAAAGAGTAAAGCAGAAAATCATGTACTAACCACTTCCTACAAATAACAAAGCTGTTCTTCACCTCTACTTTCTGTCCTCTTCCCTCTTCTGTTTAGCTTTCTTCCACAGATTCCCTAAATACCAGGTAAAATGTCTTCTCCACCCATGCCTTGTTCCTGGGCTTCCTTCCCCATACTGTGTTGTGCTTATGCCCTTCCAGTGTATTTCTAAAGTTCCCACTGTGTATCGTTGTTAGTGTTTGTATCCTGTTTCATTGCCTTCTACCATGTATCTACAACTTCCAGATGATTATCAGCCACTTGAAGTCAAGGACCATGTTTATATTCATCTTATATGTACTCACTAAACATGATGACTGAAATAATCAATGAAAGCATCTTTTCTAAGACCAATTATATGATTCTAAGAAATTGATTAGTAGCATTTTTGAGGGTTCCAGTAATGCATTACTTAAACATCAAAATTAGTAAAGCTAGTTAGTAAAATAAATAGAAATATTTCAGTCCATCTATTGGTGGATATTTTGGCTTCAAGTAATGTTCTTGATTGTAGTTTCTCAGTTTGTTGCTGCAAACTCTATTGTAGCCAAATTTCTCTTCTGAGTTCCAGTTACTTACTTAGAATCTTCATTTGGATATCTCAAAATATATCACTTTGACTGTATCTAGACCAAATTAATTTTTCAAATTGCTACATTCTTCATTCCTCATAATCTCAAAATACTATCAAAGTCCTTTCTGTTATACAAATCATGGTTTTTGATTCTTCCCTTTCACTTGCTCCTTACATCCAATTAGTTACCAAGTCTAATCAAGTCTGTCTTGCACATACAGCTCTCCATCCCTAGAGATATGTCTTTGTTCATGTATGGTTTGTATTCTACTGGACCACTACAGAAACCTTCTAACTGGTCTCTCCATATAACTTCCAGCCATTTTGCCCCACTATGCCATTGATACTGGTTTTGGTAAAGTCACCATTGCTATCATGTTTAAAATTTTAAAAACCATTACTTTCATCTTCATTTCCATAAATGGCATCTCTGTCCTTTAAATTGTTCACATCAGATGTGAGGGTGATCTGGCTGTGACATCTATCACCCATGGATTACCAGGGTTGATTCAGTTGATCTGACTGGCTAGGCGGGTGTCCCCTTCCTCTCTTACCCCTCCATGTGCATCCCTCCCAAAGCCGCATGCTCTGTCGAAGAGGACGGCCATCCCCAACAGAGAAGGACTGTTGTTTGGTCAAGGGTCTATGCATAGCTGTGCTCCCCTGTTAGAATCTCCAAACATGCTCCCAAAATCTTGTGATAATCTTCAATCTTTTTCTCTCTATATGCAATCTGTTTCCTAATCCTGCTGATTCTGTCTTCAAAATTTATCCAGCATCTAAGCAGGGCTCCACTCTCCCTTATCTAAGTCATCACCTCTTGCTAGGATCATTGCAATGGTCTCATTTTTAGGCTCTTTTCTCTTCTCTCCACAGAACACCCAGAGCCTTCTTCTAAATCGCAACTCAGGCCAGTCACTCCTCCGCTCAGAACCCTCCCTTGGTTTATGATGCTCCATCATCTGTAATCTGCTACTTCTCCAACCCTTGCATACTCTGCTTCTGCTAGACCATTCCAGCTATTCCTGTAACTTCCCAAACTGCCTTTTGCCTCGGGCTAGAACATCTGCTGTTCTTTTGCCTGGGACACTTTCTCTTAAATACCTAAATGGCTTATTTCCCGGGGCTTCCTTAAGGTCTCTGCTTACATGTCCTGTTAGCAAGAGGCCTTCCCAGATTACCCTGTTTAAAACTTATAGACACCATTCCTTCCTCCCTCTGGTTCCCTTTCCTTGTCTTCAGAGCATTTATTCAACAGCAAGTACCACCTGAAATACTACGTAGTTTACTTTGTTTATTGTCTTATTCTCAGACACAGAGCAGGGACTTGTGTTCATTTGTTCATGACTCTTTCCCCAGGGCTTAGAATACTATCAGGCACATGATAGGGTACTCAGATATTTGGTAGAGGACCAAATGCACCTGTCTTTTCTTGCCATATTACAGTTTATTCCTGAATACTTCAGTGTGTGTAATCTTTATAAAACTCCAGCATTATGATGTAATTCTCCTGTTTAAATCTCTTTGACGGCTCTTTGTTGTCATTAGAAAAAAGTATAAAAAACTTAATGTGGAGAAATCCCCAGGACATCTTGTTTGTAAGTGACAGGGTCTCAACTCACCTGATTTAGGCTCAAAAAAGAATTTATACTGAAAAGTTCAGGGGTTGAGCTCACTTTAGGCATAGCTTGATTCAAGTGTTCAAATAATACAATTGAGTTCTGTCTCTCCCTGTTTTCTCCTTCCTTCCATCTGTAGCTCTGCTTTCCTCTGCTTGAAAACAAGAATGGTATCTTTCATTCTGGTGCACATTCCTGTTCCAAGCCTAGCATATATCCTTGACACAAAGACATTCACTGTTGAGTGAATGAATATTTAAACTTTCTTTTCCCTTTGCCAGATTTAACCACTTACGATACAGTGAAACACTACTTGGTACTGAACACAGCACTTGAGGAAAATATCATGACTCACGGTTTATCCAGGTAAATGACTGTTTTAGTTTGATTCTTCCTGGTTTTTTGCTATGTCACTTTTCCTTCAATTGTTGGCATAAATTCTTACTTTGGGGATCTTTTGATCAGGAATCTAGTGGTGTCAATCACCCTTAGATATGGATAGTAGTACATTTACAAACAGTAATTTTCTTAAAGTTTGTTGCAGTTAAAATGTGGAAGACACTGATAAGAATTACAGGATAGTTCAGATTAAACCTCTGAAAATATTTCCACTTTGATGGTGCCATCCCAGAGATAGGTTCTGATGATGGACTTTCTACTCAATTCAACAGTGAGCACATTTAAGGTAGCATGCAGGGCTCTGCTGTGGCCTCGCCCAAGGAGCTTATCAACAGCGAGAACCAGACAAATGTGAAAATATTGAAAGTAAATGTTTAAAATAAAAAGTGCCTAGTTATTATAGGATTTAGAGAAGTGAGAAAAAATAACCATTGGATGGGCATGTACAGGAGATACAGTTAGATACATGTGTTTTTGAAGGTATATTCCTCTTCCCAGATTGGGACAGAAGAAAGACATGCCAGGCAGCAGCAGTACCTTCATCCTTTTGCAACACAATTTCAGATTCTCCATTAGAAAGAGTTATTTTTAGATGCTAGTGTTCTAAATATTAATTATAGTGATTTCATATAGCTTCTGATCTTGTTTCCAAATTCCAGATCCCCCATACTATTGAGAGAACCCTAGAAGTGTATTAATAGTTTCAAATCATTGCTATTTGGAGGTGCAGATACACACATAGAGTTAAACACACCAAGAATATTCTGATTCTTGCATATGTATTTGGTCTGCTTTTTACACTCTTTACTAACTCTGTACATAGATGACTCGGTTCTGACTGCCACCCAGTTACTCCTTATCATATTTGCCCATTATGGTTTTTTTAGCATATAACAGCATCTGAAATTATCCATTTCTTCTTTGCCCTCCACAGCGAGGACTTAATCTGTCTTGTTTCAGTGCCTAAAAAATTGCTTGGCATTAGTATATATGCAGCACATGTTTGTTGACTAGTATTCTGGGTTTTTTTTTCCCTCCCTCTTTGATAAATTAAACATGAATTTAAAGCCAAAAGAAATTATTATGAAAAGTAATGTATTTAGTGTTCTGTTCTTTTAAAATATTAAATCCTGTTTCTTAAAATTTAGAAGCTACTGAATATCATCTTTCAATTTCATTTATTTGTCCCTTACAGTTTATGTTCTGGACTGGTAGCTTCTATTCTGGGAACACCAGCTGATGTCATCAAAAGCCGAATAATGAATCAACCACGAGATAAACAAGGAAGGTAAATAGAGAAGGCCTTCAGTATCCAAGTGCTTGACTATCTGTAACAACATTGTTCTTTAAAGATAATTTCCTGTAGTTATTCTTAATAGAAATATAATTATGAATTCTTGTGTTCAGAGAGGAAATTGTTTTATGTAATTAACTGCTTTTGCCTGCCGAAAAAGTACTATTCATTTGAGGAAATAAGATAATCAAAATTATTTAGACACAAGGTATTTGTTGTGGCTTTATTGTTTTCAAGGAATTTTTGAAAGCGTTCTCTCTGCTGAGAGCACTTTCTTCAGAAGCTTATGATGTTCAGGTAACGTGGAGAATTGATATGATATAAAATAGTACATTCTTTCTGGAAGAGATCAGATGGACTGAATTCTAAGTATAAGACCAAGGGCTGGATGAATGGGAAGAGTCAACCTTGAAAACAACTGTAAGCTCAAATAATGCTCTCTGTCTGTGGAACACAAATATTTGTTCTAAATGAGCAGAAAATATTAAACTTATAATAAGTTTCCTTAGACTATTTTAGTTACACATCTGTTTACACAGAAGAAATTTAACAAATGTCGCTTGTTTGCTTTGTAGGGGGCTTTTGTATAAATCATCAACTGACTGCTTGATTCAGGCTGTTCAAGGTGAAGGATTCATGAGTCTGTATAAAGGCTTTTTGCCATCTTGGCTGCGAATGGTAAAGTCGGGTTTTGTTCTTCCTTCATTTCTTTTTCTTTTGATTTAAGTTGATTATAATCTATAGTCTATATTTTCCCTTTCTGTTCTGCTTTGTGGCATGGTCCTGCCCCCAAATCAAGGTCCATCCTTTCTTTTTTGAAAATGTGTTCGTTTTCTTTCACCTGTCATCAGTCATGTTGCTTTCCTTGGTAGATTAAGGTAAATATATTGGTTACATACATTAATGAGTACCCTGATAATCTGCTATAAAGCCAGTGGATAGATTTTTGGTACTGTAAAAGCTTTACTAGTCTACTTAGATAAAATATAGCAGATTGGGACAGGTATACAGATTTCATAGTAGAGAGCTTTCCTATGAAAATTTTACTATTTAAAAACTTACCTTGATGACAAATATTACATTACCTATTAAGACTTACTACCATAAACTCTGATTTATAAGAAAACATGTCATTCTTACTGGATTTAGTTGTTATTTTTTTAACTACAGTGAACGAAGATGTAGAATTAGACTTGAGTAATATAGAGAATATAATAAAAATGAGGTACTCAGGTCTTTTGTAAGTTATAAAATAATTGAAAGAATGGATACATTATGAGTTTAGAATCCAAACAAAATCAATATATCATAATTATATAATATTATTTATGTGTATAACTGAGTACCTACTCCATACAAAGCCTTATACTAAGGGCTCAGCCTTGAATAAGAAACTATAAATGGTGACTGTTATGGAAAGAATGCCTAGTGCTATGGAGATATATAGCAAATAAGTACACTGGAAATTTAGAAAACTTCCCTAGAGAAGACTTTTGAACTGAGAATTAAAAAATAAGTAAGACTTAGCCAGGTAAAGGGGGAAGAAAGAAAAAAACATTCTAAACAGATATAGATGTAGTGGACCAAGAGCACAGGGAACTGAAGGAAACACAACAGGCCAGGGCACAGGGTCCTAGAGGACAGATGCAAAGGGTGAGGCCAAATAGAGGCAGAGACCAGATTGAGATGAGCCATGAGAACCGCACAGCAATGGTTACCGGCTTGACTAAATCAGGTCTGAGCAATTGATGATATTTCCTTAAATGCAGATCATTTTCAGGAAGAAGATTTTGGAGTAAACTAAGTCTAGCTTTAGCTATGGGAAGTTTTGGATACCCATAGAACATCTAAGTGAAGCTGTTTGGATAACTAACTTAACATGTCAGTTACAATCTTAGGAGAGAATACAGGGATGGAGGTTTAGATTTGAGCACTGCCCACATATGTCTGGTAGCTGAAGCTCTGAGAATAAATGCCATCACTAAGGGAGAGCAGGTATTTACTAACATGAAATTAATAACCAGTGCCCTTGGTACTATGTGATACAAAGTGTGTTAGTCAGCCTTTCGTCTTTGTAACACAATAGCTGACATAATCAACTAAGAAGTAGGAAGGGCTTATTTTGGCTCATGGTTTCAGACGTGTCAGTCCATGGTCACTTGGGTCCATTCCTCTTAAGCAGGGAGCATGTGGTGGAGCAAAGCTGCTCGCCTCATAGAGCTGGGAAGTCAAGAGACAGGAAGGGGCCAGATACCAGAGACACCGTGACAGGCATGCTCCCAGTGACCTGACAGCCCATTCAGTACAAACTCATGAGTGGGTTAATCCACTGATTAATCTATGAGCTAATCACCTCTGAACACCAACTGAGGTCCAGGCCTTCAACACAGAAGCTGTTTTGGAGAACACTTCAAATTATAACACATAGTGTACTAGAGTTTAAAAAAGCCCACAATATTTGGTAGTCTTGATTATATAGTACCTTGAAATTACCTCAACACTCTGGATATTTCTTATTAAAAAGGCGATTTTTGATTGGGCTTCCACAAACCAGGCACTGCTATGGTGCTAGTAACACTAAGGAATAAGAGTCTTTCCACTAGAGGAACGTGCAGTGCAAGGTAGAAGTTTAAGATGTTAAAGTTATAGAAATGATACATACTAGTAAATCACTTGGTACATGGCCAACACTAGTAATTATTTTATGGCTTAACTCATTGAATTCTCCTACCAATCGGCACAATAAGTTACTGTTATACCTCTCTTTTATAGAGAAGGAAACAAAAGCATGGAGTCTAAATAAACTGATCATGGTAGATGATTGTTAACTAGTGTTTCCTGGCATCAAACTCAGGCAATCTGATGCTAAAGGACATAGTCTTACTAAGGAGTTTGTTTTAGGATCTGTTAGTGGTATGAATAACACTGTATGGGAATATGGGTGGTACAGTTAAAATGGCTGTGACTGTGTCTGAAGGTCACAAAAACCTGCACAGAGTCAATACTTGATCTAGGCTTTGAAGCCTCAATAGGTGTTTGTCAGAAGAACGTGAGCACTGGCGTAGGGTCCTGTGGGAGCCTAGTGTGCTTGAATAACTGCAGGACATTCAGAGTACTGTACGCTAGCTCCTTAGAGGGGAGGTAGTAGGAGATAAGGCTAGAGGTGTTTTTAGGACCAGATTGGAAAGGACCTTTTGGGTCCAGCTTAGTTTTCTAGGTAGTGAGCAAGCATCTGCTTAAGCACAGGAGCCATGCACTAAGATGGTAATTGAAGCTTTGGGAATAAATGCTATCACTAAGGCTCAGTAAATCCCACTGTCTGCAATCTTTAGCTATATGATCTTTCTCTTCATAACCCAACTAAAGATTACTTTGGAAGAAGTAAAAACAACACATTGAAAGGTAGGATACAAAAAAAAAAGAAGAAGAAAGTTTTAAGCTGTGGGCCAGATGATTGTAGAAATGGACAGAAGATAGATTCTAGGGTCATTTATGATTAACTCCACAGGATTTTATAACTGATTATATGTGGAAGGTACAGGACAGAACAAAGAAAATGGGATTTTTATGTTTTTAGTAAAGATGAAACGACTGTTGAAACATTAAAGTGCAGTTAGCCAGAATGAGGAACAGGAAGAATATTCAAGTACAAATGATGGGACCACTTATCCTTCTTTATATATATAAGGCTCAAGAATTGTTGATAACACACACACATTGTTGTAAAAGAATACTTAACATGTACTAAACTCATTACACAAATTAACTATTTTTTAAAATCTTACAAAAACCCAGTAAAGCAGGTAGCATCAGCCTCATTTTACAGATGAGAAAACCATGGCTCAATATGTAAAAAACTTGGTCAAGTTATACAGCTGGAATGTGACAGAGCTGGGAACTGACCATGGATCTGTTCACCCCAAACTCTGCCTCATACTAAGGCAATGTACTGAATTGCTTAAGGTCCTGCGGCTAGTTTACAGAAACTTTAAAAGAAAAAATACAGTATGTAGTGATAAGAGAAGCATTACCAAAGAAGGGCTGGCTTGCTAGCACAGTTCGCCAGGGTATCATTGCCTTGTTGATTTGCTGCAGTGCATGACTGACTGCAGAAACCTGACTCATAAGCACTTCCAAGTCACCTAGCAGAATTCACTAAAACTGATGATTAGGCTAGAATATCTGGCATATTCACATTGCTAGACACATTTGCAAGTGATCCAGATGCTGACATCCTCAGGCCAGCATGCTTCCTCCTAAATTCAGGCTCTATGTGGACCCAAGTTATAATTGGAAGGTTGTTTGGTAATCACAGAATCACACAGGAATTGCTTATCTGTAAACTTAATAATTACGAATATCAACCCAAGAGAGCTCTTAAGTGTCAAGCTCCACAGTAACAGGCATGAAAAAGAACTCTGCTTGTTTGCAGCAGTCATGACAAAAGTAAACCAGAGGAAACAATACGGGTTCATATGTACTTGACTTATTTATAGCAGTCACAACTATGCCAGTGAAGAAATCAGTAAGTCCACACAGTGCACACATGCACTTCTGGGCAGAGGCTCAGTAAATCCCACTCATTTACTACTCACAGTCTTTGGCTGTATGATCTCCCCCTTTAACTATGCACAATCCACCTAAACTCCATTGTCATCCATTCCTCTGGGTAGAGGTGGCATGACCTTGCTTTGCTCAGTCCCTGAGTAATACTTACTTCATTTGACTGTGCTTTTCTTCCCATATGTTGTCATTAACATGAAAAATCTGACACCACAGTAATTGGAAGTGATTGCATTTCTTAACTAAAACCTCTGTCTCTTTGATCTGACTGTAGTTACTTCCTTGGCTCACTTCAATTTTTGTTGTCACAAGAATGTGTGTCTTTACAGCTGTATATTCCTTATTTTATCTGTTTTTATACATTAATTGACTGAGATATGTTTTCCTAAATCTGCTAGTAAATTCTCGGTCTACCAATGTAACCTCCATATTTCCAAACACATGACATGTATATTGCTTTGCAAACTCTCTAACTAAATTTTTGGCTAAGCTAATTGCTCAGGTTTATCTCTCTTATCTCTAGTAGGGTAGAGTTCCTCTCCAATCTATTGAACAGAACCAAACTAGAGAGGAATTAGATCTGAGGCACCCTTCCTCTGTTCCAGTGTTTACCCCTTAGTGTTATAACTTCACTAACCCATGTCTTTATATAATTCCTTTAGATAGAGCTACCTATACCACCATTCAGAACAAAGTTGAGCCTTTCTGAGATGGAGCTCCTTTCTCTATTTAATGTGATTTTTGCATATAAAACATCAGGTGTTGGGATTTTTATGACCTAATTCTTAAAGAAGTCTTCCTTGCCTTCAAGTTCTTCCTTGCTTTCAAGTTCTTACATGTCTAATTGTCATGCTGCATGTAAAAACTCCTAGAGAAGAGTTCAGGCATCCTAGAGTTCAGGCATCCCAAGTCATAACACTTTAGCCAGAAATGGTTCAGTAAAAAGAACCCTAGGAATAGAGTATAGAAACCTGTGGTCTAGCTCTGTACTGTATTAATGGTCATTCAGCTGCTAAGCCTTAGTGTCCTCATCTGTAAAATGGGGATGATATTACTTTTCCTTTCTATTGTAAGTTGTCTTTTAGAGAAATCTGTGATAAATGAAACATGAAAATGAATTATAAATTTTAAAGTGCTTTACAAAGGTAAAAGATAAAACACTTATTTTTTTACAAATGGATTCAAAATGACTTTTCATTCAAAGGTGTATATGCATTTATGTAGAATATTTATAATTGCTTTGAAATATTCACTAACCTCTTTGGTTAATCTTTCAGACCCCTTGGTCACTGGTGTTCTGGCTTACTTATGAAAAAATCAGAGAAATGAGCGGAGTCAGTCCATTTTAAGCCCTTAAAGATACAGTGTTCAGTGTTATTGAAATATGGGCATCTGCAACACACCCCCCCCTATTATTTCTACCTCTTTAGGAAGATACCTTATTCCACAGAGACTGTGATTTATAGGGGGCAGCACTTTGTTTTTCTCTGGAAACCCAAGTTCTCTTTGACTCCTCTTTTTATCTAAAAGTGATCTGGTGACATCTCACAAGGACATCCAGTGAGACCCAGCACCATGTTTTCTAAGGAAGAATGGAACCCTGACTACTTTCACCTTGGACAAGGTTTGGCCTTTGCAATGCCATTCTGAGATGAAGAGGCTGCTTAGAGGAGGGATTCCAGGAAACAGTGAGCATCTCAGATTGGAAGTAGACTATAGGAATGTAGAAGAATATTTACATAGTGCTTACGAAATACATTTAACCTGTATATCAGTATTTATAACTGAAGCCTGATGACTCACTTTTCTTTTGTTAAAGTGTACATATGTAAATTAAAGGAGGTAAATGAAAATTCGTGAATAAATATTTTGATTTCCCTAGTATTGAAGGAAGTTGATGTACCTTTTCTTGCCAGGAGGATGTGGGGAAAAAAGCCAAGTTGAGGTGATGTTTGATTTTCAAGGAAAGAAGCAGCTGGATATCAGTGCCCACACCTCCACACCTACACCTGTGTTAACTGATCAGCACTCCACCACACTTGCTCATAACTTGCCCTGACATCTACAGACTCTAAATCTTGACAATAAGAGAGCGCATTTGTCTGGTTATGTCCCATTACAACCTGGATTTGCCACTAGCTCTCAAGAATCTTAAAAAATAACCTTATTTGATTAAAACCAAGCTGTATAGTTCCTCTGGTAAAGCACCTTTTGTTACCATGAGCTTTTTTAATGGTATTTTAAAAGCAAGACTCACATAAAGCCAATTCTGGCCTGTATCCATTCTTACCTTCCTTCCCTAATATGAGTGCTGGAGAGAGAGGGTTCATAGGTTACACTAAAACTGTCAGTAGCCTGAATCTTACTTTGACGAAGCATCTTACCAAAAATGTGATAAGTGTAACCTGTTCATAGTATATAGTTATATCTCCAGTCTTTGAATCCAGACCCTTTTCTTGTTTTAGAAAGGCAAGAGATTTCTCCAGACTCACCTATATACCACCTGCTCTCCTTACCTTAGACATTGGGCATTTTTGGCTGGCTAGATGTGGTTAGACATTGGGCATTTAAAGGCTGTTATGGGAAAACTGAAAAGGCTCATGCCTAATGAGGACTTTGGAGCTAACAAACTAGAACTTGTTGAGATGGATGGGTATAGATGATGTTGGACAGGAAAATGTTTACAAGTGCTCTGTGTGTGCACTACAGTATAATCACTGCCATTTAGTGGGGAGGAGTATGCTTTAAATGCATTTTAATGTGATGTACATCTGATATGCAGTGGCTTATTGTTTTTCTAGTTGCACAGTGTAATGTTTAATCTCTTCAGACCTTTAGGTCTACTCTTCCATCACATTTGTCAATCTGTAATTAAGTTGTTAAATATATGTAATATATATTATATGCTTCAATTCTCAATGTTCTGCATTGAACCACTTTGGGGAAATTTTTGTTTTCTATGGTTTGTAATTTTTGAAATTGAGTAAAGACTGGATCAAAATAATTGTAAGCAAACTGAACCATGAAAAATTGATTTAGCTTTATTCTTTTTGGGGGCTTAGAATTAAAACATTGCTTAAGTACTAATGCTGTTTCTTGTATGTGAATCAACATGAAAACTGGAATTATTTTTATCTGAAATGACTCTCTGTGTATCATGTGGTTGAACATCCTCACTTTCTAAGTCAGGACACCAAGGTCTGGAGAAACAAGAGTGTCTGTGGTCTGAGGTGACTCAGCAGAGCCAAGACAGACATGTGGATCCATCCTCTTATTACTAGGAGCATCTTAACTGACAGCGATTATACACTAATTAGGTACAAAATAAAAGTCACTCCACAGCAGGCCAGTCTGCTCTTGAGTCTTCTAAAAACAGAATGTTCTTTCAGGCATTTTTTGTTTCATAACGTTTTAATGAATCTTGATTACCTCCGACATAAGTTTTAGGATGGCGTTACCATGTTTCAGTCCGAACTTTATGACCCTCCATAACTTGGCCACATCCTTTATATGTAACTTATACACCATTATGCTTACACTTCTCGAGTGAGTGGCTTTATTTTTGCCAACTTGGGATGTTCTTGGTCCTTTCTAAAATAATCCACAATAAATGAATAGGAATTAAACATTTGTAATTTTATGCCCATATTCATAGACTTAACATTTCTAATCTCTCTTTCTACTCTGGTGTTTCTCTGGTTTTTTTCAGCTCAATATTGGTAGTGCTTGACAATACATTTCTTTTGTTTTGCTTTCACATTTTCCTATTCAATTTTTTTTCTTTTTGAAATGTATACACTGACTTTTAGTTATATATAGTTCTCCTTTGTATGTCTAAGTAAATTAGCATGTGTATCTTATTAGAGGGATAGTCCTTTTTGTTTGCTCTTAGTTAGGAATAATATGTGTTTTTCAAGTCTTTGAAATTCTATTTGATTATAATTTCCTAGTGGGTAGGACTATGTCTTCTGTTTTTATATGAATCTCTACTCTTATTAATACCATTAGGTATACAATAAAAATTGATTGCAGCCACATATGATATGAACTAATTAATTTTGTCTTCATTATCTTAAGATTTTGTGACTATCATATAAGCATGTAGATTTCACATTGTTAATTTAAAAAGGAAACAAATTGAGGGAGTTTTAATGGAAAAGAATTTACTACTTGGTCACCAACACATTTCCTGGCACATTTATTTACAATTGATACAGTTACACGTTTTTCTCCATTAACAAAAATAGATTCCTTCAGGACCTCCCTTGGGAAAAAAATGCTTAGTTTTAATACTTGGTGATTTAAAAAAATTGGAAAGTAAACTGTTTTCTCCAATTAAACCAAGATTCTTTGAAGACAGTTCCCAAGTACGTATATATTATTATTTAATGCCAGGAAGTGTGGCAGGAAAACAAAACCTGGACTGTAAAGACCTTTATCCTATCTTGGACTTTACTTTTAACAGAATAATATAGCTAGGATCAAGTCCTCGTACTTCTCTGGATTTCCGTTTCTGTATAATGAAAAGGAGACCATTATATTGATACCATGTTTTTCCCCCCTGGGCGTAATTTATTTTCTTTTTCTTTTTTCCCCAGTACTAAGGATTGAACTCAGGACCTTGGTTTGCTAGGCAGGCACTCTCCCACTTGAGCTGCACTCCCCATCCTATTTGTTTTCTCACATTTCAAGATTGGGGAAAATTTGTTCAGACTTTATAATACAAACTTCTTATTTGATTGATATCTGTTTTTCTCAGGGAAGCTGAGTAATCTTCCTTCAGACAACTCTGGGCATGTCACCCCATATTCTTGCCTTCAATTGTTTCTTTACACAATATGATAAAAATTAAAAACTTTAATCCCATATCCTAGGTCCTCTTAATCTGACCCTGCCTGTTTTTCTGGCCTTTATCTTTCACTGCACACCTGTATACCACCTCTTTGCAGATGCTCTGCTCTAATTACCTCTCTGGAGATGCTCCACTCTTGGCTGGCTTCTAATACAGTGTTCATTCTGTGCCTTCCATCTAGCTTCCCTCCTACCACCTCACCATTCATCTTCATTTTGATTGGCTAATTAAATCCTACTTAAATATCTAAAACAATCACCTGTTGCTTGCTTTCAGAAGGCAACAGTTCTATGCTATGTTTTCTATGGAAAGCAAGAACTGTGTAATATCTCCATATTCCTTGTAACCTTCACATAGGAGTCACAGAAGCTAGTTGTAGACCTAAATTTTTTTGAAGGAGGCAGAGATTAAAAAAAAAAAACATTTAGAGATACATGATTTAGTCCTATTTTTCCTTCTACCTTTGGAAGAATTATCTTGGGTAACATTTGTGGTTTCATTAAATTCTCTACCATACTAAATGCTTTTCTTCCTTTTTAAAATATCATGTGTTGTTTAAACATCATAATTTTTAAGAAGTATGATCTTCAACAGTTTAATAACCTAGCATTTGATAGTTATAAAATAATATATTATTATAAAATAATACAAAATAATTATATATAATTTATATATAAATATTTATATTATATTATATATATATTATAATATTTATATTATAAAAATAATATAATAACATTATTATAAAATAATATAAATTTTGGTTAGTTGATTAATAGATAATATGTGATATGAATACATCATTCTTTGTTTTAGGGTACATATAGAAATTATACAACTGTTTGGTCTTCATTGATACCATACAAATGCACATTTCTCCCACTCATATGTCTTATTATTTCTAAATTTTGAGGAATGCATGATTCTTTTTCTCTCCCCATACTTTGCCCCCAACAGGCTGCTGTGATTGTCAACAGCAGCAGGAACCACTTTGGAGGTTTGATAAAAGCAGATGAAGATGCTTAAAGAGGTCTGTTTGCTGGAAATATCTGATAACAAACAGGAATGTGAGTAAACACAGTGTGATATTCTGATTTTTAAAAATAAATGTTTTTAAGTACCTAAATTGTTGTTATCAAGGATTTTGTTTTTCCCTGTGTGGTTTTGAGTTTAGATGCTAATAAAAAATTTAGAGATGATTCTTTTAAACTTAATTTTTTTACTTTTCACTGCTAAAATAGAAACTGGATTAATTTAGGGCCTGAGGTTAAGATACTTGGGTTAGCCAGAAGGATGTGTACACTTTGTAGCCACAATTTTTTTCTTGGGTATTCCTGATTTACCCAGTTATTCTCTGACTAGAAAAGATGGAAAACTAATAATTACAGTGATAGATATGGTTGGTGGTAGAGGATGGAAGAGGAAAAATAAATGGAATTACTGTACACATTAGAGAATGACTGCCTTTTCTGATACCATGGTCTACTTTGATTTCGGTGATAAATTTCCTCTTGGCTTTCTATGGGTATTTTTAGTTGCTCATTGCTAGTCACTACTGGCTGTTCCTTTGCTGCCAAGTCTTTAATTTTGTTTCTTCAAGCTACTGTTCTTGGTCTTCTTCTCACTTTTCACTTTCTCACTAGGAGTAGCCTCACATTTCTGCATCTTTATCTACTACACTTAGACTGGTGATTCCTAAACACATAACAAGCACCCAGTAAATGGTAGGTGTCACCATTATCTATATTTCTAGTCCTTACTTGTTTCTCAAGCATTGGTTGTGTTTTCTCAATTTCCAGTGATACATCTCTACCAGGGTGGCCCACAATCCTTGTGAGTTTACATTTCGTCAGTAATTTTTGTATACTTTCAAATCTGCTGTTTCTCCAGAATTTTCTGTTGCCCTGGACAATCAGCATTGCAGTCAGTAAACCCCATAGTTATCCTTGACTTCTCATCTTTCTTATTTATCCAAAATTCTTTCATTCAGTTATAAAAAAGAAAGCTACAGACTGACATCTCTTGTGAACATAAATATAAAACTCCATGAGCACCACTTCACACTGATGAGGATGGCTGCTGTATAGATAGATAAGAAATAAAAACTTCTGCTGGGTTTGTAGAGAAATTGGAGTCCCTACAAATTGCTGGTGGGAATGTAAAATGGTATAGCTGCTGTACAAAAAAGTATGAAATAAGTAAATTTAGAAGTACCATATGATCCAGCAATTCAACTTCAGGTAATGACCCAAAAGGATTGAAAGCACAGACTCAAACAGATAGTTGTATGACAATTTAAAAAAACAGCACTGTTCATATGGCCAAAAGATAGAAAACCCCAAAATGCCCAAGTGAATAAACAAAATGTGGTATGAACATACAACAGAGTATTACTAATCTTTAGGGAAGAATACATGCTACATGATAAGAATGAACCTTAAAAATGTGTGGAGTGAAATAACCTGGACATGTATTAATGGCTTTCCTAGTTTGAGGTATTCAGAATAATAAAATTCATAGAGACAGACAGTGAAATGGGAGCGGTTGAGGAGTTATCAGGTAGGCGTTCATGTTCCCATCAGGAACGTGCAGCACTCCCATCCCCAGTTTTTCTGTTTTATGTCTATATGTCTGTCTGTGTGTGTCTTATTT